ACAGAAGAGAGGATTTAACTATTATGAATATTTAGGTTGAAGGAGAGAGAGATGATTTACTGCGTCCTTCAAGCATATAAAATAATTTAAAAAGCTATATAGTGATTAATCGTCTATTGCTGCGTAGCAAATTACTCCCAAACTTGGCAATATAAAATAACAAAAGTTTCTTATCTCACAGTTTCTGTGGTCAGAAATTGGGAACAACTTAGCGGGGTGGCTCTGGCTCTGAGTGCTTCATGAGGTGGCCTTCAAGGTGTAAGCCCAGGCTGCAGTCTGCTGAAGGCTTGACTCAGGTGGAGGGTCAGCCTTCAAGACTCGCATGGATGTTGGCAGGAAGCCTCAGTTCTCGCTGACTGCTGACCATCATGTGGGCTTTTCTGTAGGCCTGTCTGAGTGTCCTCATGACACATCAGATGGATTCCCCTGGAGCTAGTGATCTAAAAGCGAGAGAGAGCAAAGAGGAAGCTGCGACGCCTTTTATGACCTACTCTTGGAAGTCACCCAGTGTCATTTCTGCTACATTCTATTCATCAGAAGCAAGTTACTAAGTCTGGTTCTCACTCAAAGGATGGGGAATTAAGCATCACTTTTTACAAGAAAAATTTCAAATAATTTATGGATGTATCTGAAAGTCGCCATATATGATGATCAGCTGAATAAAAGTAAACAGGATTAAATTGTAAGAAAGAACTCCGTGATAACATAGCCACAAAAAAGTCTGGGAGAAAAAAAAGACAATGTGAAATCTATATTTTTTGAGATTTTTAAGAGTATGAATAGACATCTAAACCAGTGGCTCTCAATTGGAGCAGAACCACTGCCTAGGGGGTCTTTCAGAAAATTTGAGTTGACTTTTTAGTTGTCACAATGTTTGGGAGGTAATACTGGCACTTAGCGGGAGGGAGCCAGGGAAGAGAGATGTCCGGCAATATCTGGGACAGTTCTGCACAACCAAGAATTGCCCTACTTCCTGCCTAACTTTCTCGTGTCCCACTCATATAATGACAACTTGTTTTTAAATATTTGAATCTAGAACTTCTGTTTTAAAATTACAAATGTTATTTTTGCATGGTTTTAATAACTACCAAGGGACTTTGAACAAAGATTGTACTTTGTTAGAATTTACTAAAAGTTGTTCATTTAGGAAAATTGTATCTTTGACAACACCACTTGTAGTATTTGAGTCTCCTACACAATACACCTGTATCCTCCTGCAATTATAGCTGCTACATTCGGTGATTCTATCTCTAGGTGCCAGCCCCTGACTATTTCACTGTGTCTTCTGGTTTAGTCACATGCGAGTATTTGCGTATTGATATGCATGCTCTTTAATTATAAATTATTTTCTTCTTATTTCTCATTTGCATTACAGTTAGGGCATTTTAGTTTTTTTTTTTTTTTTTTAAGAAATTGAGTATGTGAATGAGTTATCTCTGAATATTATTTCAAGATCATAAGAGGAGTATTGTAAAATATTTGTTATAAAAAGGATATGTTGGGTATGATGGGGTTGAGAAGGACTGACTTACAACCCTTGATGTTATGGCACTATTAACCACCTTATATGAGAAGCCCTTTACGTTTGTGGGGAAATATTCTGGTATAGATCTGTCCAGAAGAAACCTAATGTGAATCACATAAGTAATTTAAATTTTCTAGTAGCCACATTCAAGGAAGTAAAAAAAACAGGTGAAATTAGTTTTAATAATATATTTTATTTAAGTAACCATAACCAAATACTGTCATTTCAAATATAATAAATATAAAAATTATTAATGAGATATTTACTTTTTCATTGTTGTTCATACTGTGTTTAAAACCTGATGTGTATTTTGCAGTTATAGCACGTCTCAATTCAGATAAGCCACATTCAAGTGCTTGGTACACACTTGTGGCTAGTAGCTACCATGTTGGACAGCACAGTTCTAGCAGTTCCGTGAATAGAGAAATTCCAAGAAAGGGAGTAAAAATGTGAGAAGACCCTTATTTTATTAATGGACAAAATGACTGCTACTGGATATCTCCTTCTTCTCCTCTTTTTTCTGCCATATTCCTCCAGTGGGAGTGCGGGGAGCTGTGGACTTGATGGAGAAGATGCAGAAAACTAGGTACCCTTGACTGAGGTGACTTAGTTGAACTGGCCCTTGCAGCTTTCAGCTCAAAGACTTGATGTTCCAGATCGAACACAGACCATCTGCAGCACAACTTCTGTGCCAGAGGCTGCATGCAGAGGTGCAGCAGCAGTCTAGTAAACACACCACCTGCCACAATTCAAAACTACAGAATCAAGGAGAATTCTTCCCTTGACACTTACGTCTTCTTCTCCCTCTCCTTTGTCCCTGGCATCGGATCCCTCCCAACCAGACAGTCTCCCTCTCATGCCAAGCACAAAGCTCTTCTTTTCAAATGGCAAAGGCTCCAAAATTACGTGTGTCATCTCCTTTCCTACCATATGTGTCTAACATACTGCTGATCCTCATTTAGCTGATAGCCTTGTTGTTTCCCACTGTTTACAACCTCATTCCTAATCTATCCTTTAGCAGGCAGCATTGCAGCTACTACAGTCTAGTGGGTAAGCTTGGGCCCTAGAGAGCAACACACCTCAGTTCAAGCCCTTTTATACCACTTAACAACTGTGTGATCTTGAGAAGTAAATAAAACTCTGAGCTACAGTTCTCTATAAAATTTAGATGAAAATAATATCTACCGCATTCGTTGTGAGACTCAAATGAAACCATGGATGGAAAACATTTAGCATAGTATTTGACACATTGTAAGCAATTAATAAATTGGAGATCTTATTATTAAACTATTTCCTCAATGTATAATTCCTTCCCTACTGCTGGCCACCTGTCCAAATCCTAGTCATTTTTCAGTCTGTCCCAGGTCCCACCTCTTCTCTAAGCCTTCTACAAATTTTATTCTCTACTTTTCATGTGTTTCTTGAGAACTCTGACATAAACTATACTGGGATTGACTTCTAGTACAGGACACACAGTGGTCATTTAATAAATTCTTTGATTAATTGACTGATGATGAAAAAGGGAAAGAGAACTATAGCAGATGCTGCTGATGCCCCTCCCCACCGTCCTCCATCCTGAATTTGCTTACAGCTGTGGCGGACAGTTTCACCATGCCCACTGACAAGCATGCTCTACATGGTTCCTCAGGAGGTCCCCCGCAGGATGGAGTCACCACTGCCCGCAACAATATCCCACTCATTAACATGCTCTTTATTGGCTTTACTTCTTTCCCTGTCTCACTTTCCTCACTTCCACTTAAGATTCCGAGGATCACCTCCCAAATTAACCTGTCTGCACCAAAATCGTTATCTCAGGGTTTGATTTTGGGGAAACCTAAATGAGACAGGAACTAACATTACCAAGTCTGGATTGTATGTTAAGCGCCACGTCAGGCATTCTACTTTTTGTCTTCTTTCATGTTCTCAACATTCTTATGGGGCTGGGCATTGTACCCATTTTATAGTAACAAACTAGAAAGCCAAGACTAAAACAATTAAGTGATTTGTTCAGGGTCATAAATACATTAAGTAGCAAACCTAGTCATCCAAACGCTTCTTTAGGTCCCCACTTCTGAATTAATAATTATATAGAAAAGGAATATAACATTTTGGGATAAAGTTAAAAGAAGCATATTACAGAAAACAGAGTCAGGTAAAATTAGATCTCTTTCTCAGTTTTAGCCAAAATGTGGCAAACTAGTGTATAAAAACAGAATGTAATAAAATAATGTCTGGGGACATTTTACACTGAAGGCTTAGATGTCATTTAAATGCCTTATTTATAGTCCATTTTCTTTATTCTGGGAAATAAAGACGGGAAGATATGGCAGCAGAGAGTTGCCCGAATGAGTCAGATTTTATAAGAAGGTATTAGAAGACGAAACCAATTTGTCCTCTGACATTGGAGAAAGAATTGGACAAAGGAGACTTTTCTGAGTACTTTAATACTAAAAGGAAAGGCTTGGGTGGATGAGAAAAATTTATCTTCCATATTAAAATTATCATTCAGAATTGATTTTTTTTTATCTTCCCAAGTCACACAGGCCACGTACATAATGGTGATTGAATTATAACAAAACTGTCAAATCCAAGAAATGTGAGTAAGGAGATAGCAAAGGACAAAGAGATTTGTTTTCCATATGCAAAGGAAAGCATTGGATGACTAATGCATTTCCTAGATTTTTAGGAACTTTATTAATCAAATTGTAGAAGTTGGAAATATTCAGTTAGAATTAGGGAGTATTACTCAGTTTAGCTAATGCCTGTTACTTTCTGTAGTTCTCTAGTCTAGCTGTCAAGTTTATAATTCTTAGAAAATAAGGGTGATGAGTTTGTATGAGGTAGAGCCCAACGACTTCAGAGAAAACAGAATTGAGTCTTCAGTTTTCATGAAGTTTGAGAACACTTGATACTTATAGTAAGCTTTGAGATTATCTGACAAATGTATGGTAAGTCTTCATTATGTATTGCCTCTGTTGCTACTGTTTGCCTTTATAATGTCCCATGAAATCATAAAGACCTAGTCAATTTGAATTGGGCATGACAGTTTCTTAATGGTTTTCACTTACGTATAACCCAGAAGAATTACATCATATTATTTATTGTAAATTTATTAGCTCTGCTATGAAGTCATTTAGTTTTGAGCCCTAGAAAAAGTGACTTCTAGCCAGCCAAGCATTTGTAGTGTGCCCTCTAATTCACATTTTAATAAATGTCATTTTCTAAGTGCATTACCTCATGTTTTGGCTTCAACCCAGATGAATCTTTAGAGAATAAGAGAAATGTGCTTTCTGACTGATTCATCCATATTTTATTTTACTTTTCATTAAGAAATTACTCTTTGAAGAAAATCAATAATCTTCTGTGACTGAGGGGCGAGGTTAGTGCGTTGCAATGGTGCATTCTAATTTCTCAAATCAGGCTGCCTTTAGCCAGCTGTTGCTGATAGAATTTTTGTCCTTTCTTGTTCCTGCAGCCTGGGTACATGGCGACCCCAGGAGAGTGGCCTATCCTACAGACAGCAACGGCCACTTTTGTGGCCAGAAGGGCACCCCCAATGAGTGAGTATGGCCACCTTTGTTTTGTCTGATTTTACTGTCTAAGCTGGAACCTAGAAATCACTTTTACATTAACCCTACTAGACCTTATAGGAAGATTGAGATTCATAAAGGAGGTCTTCCCTCCCCCTTTTCCTAGTGACAGTTTACAAGCAATTGGGAAGTTTCACATTATATGACTTAACAACAAGATGTCATTGCTATGCAGCATTTGATTAGAATGCATGAAGACTCTGCTTAGTGAAAATATAATTTTAATGGATGAATTGGACCAGCGATTCTATCAGAAGCCATATTTTAAAATGCCTTATGAAATGGGCTGTTGGAAGGCTGAGTTCTGAGTGGCTGCTAAAAAGCTAGACAGTGCAGTTGTTAGAATTGTGTTTGTCACAGTGCCTGCTAAGTCACCCCACCTTTCAAAGTAAGAACACCCAGAAAGTCTTCAATGTGTGGTAGCCCTGTCAACACAACGTAGCTGCTGCAGACCATGACCCTGAATAGCTGAAACAAACAAGGAAGAATGTTCCATCAAATTACTTTCTAATGTTAATCATAACAGAATTTTCCACTGCTGAGAGCAAGTTTTTTATTTCTTCACTTAAAACAAAACAAAACGAAAAACAAAGCTCAGAACACTTCTGTTGGGTTCCCTATGTTGCCCACCCATAACTGTGGAGCTTATTATTCCGAGAGATATACAGACTGAAAACATAGGTTCAGGAAGGGGTTAGCAAAATTCACAGAGTGGAATTATTACGGATGATCAAGAGAAACCAGACATTTGGGTATGGGGCAAATCCTTGATCATGTCAAATTGAGTTTACGGCAGACAAGTTGACTCTTACGAAAGGTCCTCCTTGCCTGTTAGAGACGACTGGCCTAAATTCTGATCTAGGGTGGTAATTCTTATTTTAACCTTAGTAACTCAAGAAATCCTAGTCATTGCCAACAAAGCTTTTACACTATGAAGGAAAAAGAAAGCACTAGGTGGTAAAAAAGTCATACAAATCTCTAAATCGCTAGTTCTTTAAAGTAGGCTATTTACGAAAGTGACTCTGTAACGATAAGTTTTCCAGACCTAAGCCAATGACCCACTTATTTCCAACAAAAATGGGATACTACAAATTTCAGTACATAAAGATCATTCAAAGACAATCCTAGTGTAACACAGACATGTTCATTAAAGTATTATTTATAATAACAATCTATTAGAAACTATACAGTTATCCAACAACATGTGGATTATAGTAAATTATAGACCATCTATTTAATGAAATATAATGGAGCCATTAAAAATCTATGTTTATATTTTTAAGTGTTGATTCTGTTGACTTTTCTTTATAGCTTCTGGATTTTGTGTCATGATTATAATTGCCTTCTTCCTCTTGAAAATAACATTCATCTATATTTCTCTAGTATTTCTGTGGCTTCCTTTTTTATATTTAAATTTTTAATCTACTTGGAATTAATGTTTGTATATAGAATGAAGTAGAAATCAAACTTTCTTTTTTTCCAATTGCAGAACCAATTATCTCAGAATAGTTTGTTGAGTAAGATGCTCTTTTTCTCCTCTGATTTCTGATACTACAATTATCATATAATAAACTTATGTATTTGTTTCTGAACCATCTGTGCTATTTCAATGTGTATTTTTAAGCCTCTCAATTGTTTTAATTCTTATAATAAATGTGTATTAATTTGAAAATTTAACAAGAAAGTTACTTTAAATGATACTTAGAGATTTTATTAGTAAGTGAAAATATTCATGAAAATAATAGATTTCAATCATTAAAAAAGTATGGAACTATCGTAGAACTAGACATAAATAAATAAATACAAATACAAATTTTGTATGTGATAAAGTCAGGATTTCAAGTCAGTAACAAAAAGACGGATTATTAAATAAATGGTATTGAATTAACTGAAATGCTATTCATGAATACAGAACAAAATTGGATATTTATCTCATACCTTACACCAAAATGTATTGGTGTACATTTTGGAGATTTTGTATATAAAATACACAACCAAAAAGTAACAGAAGAAAATGCAGGGTATATTTGTAAAATTATGGGATAAAGAAACCTCTTCTAAACATGATACCAAAGCCAGAAAATGTAACAGAAATTTTAATTACCACACAAAGAAGAACTATACTAAGTAATAGGAATATTACCTCACAAAGTAAACTCACTTTAATCCACTGTACACAAAGTTAGGTGATAAGTGGCAATCCAGGAAAAATAAATATTTTCAACATATATATCTGACAACAGGTCAATAGCTTTATTATATGAACTACCTTTACCAAATTAGAAAGAAAAAGACGATCATCCAACATAAAAGTTGGCAAAAGTCATAAACAGGAAATAACCATAATGGCCAATAATAATGGAAAGTGCTGTTCAACCACAGCTAAAAAAAAGAAATGCAAATTAATAAAAGGATATTATTTTTGCTTATAAAGTTGTCAAATAAAGAGATTAAAATTTCCACTGTTGACCAGAGTGAGGAGAAAAAGTATCTCATTTTCTACTGGTGGTAGTGAAATATGATAATGTTTATCATATTTTATCAAATATTCATCCAATTTGTGCATTCTTTTCAATTCAGCAGTTTTCCTCCTAGAAACTTATCTAATGGAAATTTGCATAAAATTTCCTAATGTTATAGATACTATGAAATAGACATTTAGGCTGCTTCAGTATTTGGAATGTAGAGTTTGGCCATTTTGTGCTTTGTTTAGCCGTGCCTAACCAAAAGGATGCTAGGAGAAACCCTGGGAGCGTTCTAAAATGTTGATACCCGGGGCCGGCCTGGTGGTGTAGTGGTTGGGTTTGCACTCTCTGCTTTGGTGGCCCGGGTTTTGTGGGTTTGGAACCCCGGGCGCGGACCTACGCACCATTTATTGGTCCATGCTGTGGCAGGCATCCCACATATAGAATAGAGAAAGCTGGGCACGGATGTTCGCCCAGGGCCAATCTTCCTCAGCAAAAAGAGGAGGATTGGCAATAGTTGTTAGCTCAGGGCTCATCTTCCTCACCAAATAAATAAATAAATAAAATAAAATAAAATGTCAAAACAGATAAAACAGAGCCCTCAAAGGAAAATGGAGTGCTTTGTTGACGTGTGTAACTTTCTCTGCCTTTTGAGTTTCAGGGAAGTTACTCAGGAGACTTGGGTATGGTCCTTGTCTTTGGAATTTCCACTCGATTGATTTTGATGCCACCTTCTGGCTACTACAAAAACTTCAGCTTATAAAGGTTATGTTAAAACAACTTTGAACATTTACTAAATTAGATGCAGCACAATTACCAAATTAGACAGACTGAAATACTCATCCTCCCAGTATGAGGTTCAGATAGGGAAACAGGAAAGATTAAGAGGACAGAGCTCTTCCGTTCAAGTTTTGCATCAATTTGGCACCTAAGTGAGCAAGGACAACTTGGTCTTCAATTTACGGACGAACCTCTCATAAAACGGCAAAGAGGTCTCACAGATCTGTTTGATTTAACACACTACAAGCCCAGATCTACTACTTGGTTTAATTTTTTTGTGTGTGAGGAAGATCAGCTCTGAGCTAACATCCATTGCCAATCCTCCTCTTTTTGCTGAGGAAGACAGGCCCTGGGCTAACATCTGTGCCCATCTTCCTCCACTTTACATGGGATGCCGCCACAGCATGGCCTGACAAGCGACGCGTCGGTGCGCGCTGGGGATCCGAACCCAGGCCGCCAGCAGCAGAGCGCACGCACTTAACCACTACGCCACGGGGCCGGCCCCTGATTTAACTTTTAAAATCTATATCAAAAATAATATATGCATGTGAAAGTAAACCAAACAGTAATGAAGAACTTGTAATAAAAGCAATAAAAGCAATGGTCTCCTATCCTAGGACTCCTTACCCACAGTTTCATTCCACCAAGACAAGCTCTTCTCTCTCTGGTTGTCTTAGTTCAGGCTGCTATAACAGAATACCACAGACTGGGTGGCTTGTAAACAACAGAAATTTCTTTCTTATAGTTCTGGGGGCTGGAAGTCCCAGATCAGGGTGCCAACACGGTCAGGTTCTTGGTAAGAGCCCGTTCCCTGGTTTGCAGACAGCCATCTTCACTCTGCCTCCTCAAATGGAGGAAGGGGGAAGAGGGCTCTCTGGGTCTCTTTTATAGGGTACTAATCCCATTCATGAGGGCTCCCCTCTCATGACCTAATCACCTCCCAAAGGCCCTACTTCCTAATATCATCACGTTGGGGGTTAGGATTTCAACATACGAATTTGGGAGTGGGGAGAGCACAAAAATCTAGTCCATAACACTGGTTTTAGTTCTTCTGGCAGTTTTTTACATAACTTTAAATAGTATGCTTATTCTTTTATTTTGTACTTTACCTTTAGATAGTATCCACTGACAGCCTGCTATAAAAAATGAAGATTTAACTTATTTGCATGATCTCTTTTCCTGATCCCCCTCCTCCTCCCATGTTTGTAGTTAAATTTTTACCTATAGGTTTTTGTATTATAACGTTAAATAGCATACTAATGCCTCTATTTCTTGTTCCATTAACTTTTGTCAGTGTCTCAACTCCCCTTTATGTAAGAGGAGGATATTACCCCCACTACCCTTCTTTCCATCTTTCTTTTCCATTCCACCTTCTACTTTCTGTATCTGCCCTTTACATTATCAAATTCATTATAAAGTTCTGTTCTGCAGCTTCAACAGAATCTTTCACGTTCTGTTGGTAGGTTGATTCTAGAAGTTGGAAACAAAAGACTCTTACTTTGTTATAACCCTGTAAACTTTATTCACTGCCAGGCCATTACATTTTCATCTCTACTATGTCACTAATATCAAAGTCAAATCTTTCACTTTATTAGCAGCTTAGCATCGTCCCACGTTTTTGTTTGCTTTAACATAGGGCAATGACAGTCTTGTATAATCTCTTGTTTGCCAGCAGTTTTTTATTGAATAGCCTTTGTCAGGACCACAAGTTTTCATACCATCCCAACCACACTGTTTTTTGGAGGTCTTCTTTTCTCTGAAGGCCTACCTGCTGAGCTTCTGTCCTACTGTTCCACTCAGGACCTGGTACACTTGAGGCCTACTGTGTAGCTTTAGTTCTGGGACTTCTCTACCTCATTAGATTGGAGCCTGTTTCTAGAGTTGCCAGATTTAGCAAATAAAACACAGAATGCCTGCTTAAATTTTAATTTCAGATAACCAGCAAATAATTTTTTTAGTATAAGTGTATCCCATGCACTGTTTCCTATATCTCGGGTTATCTTCTTTCTTTGTTGACTCTCTTGTTTTGATGGAGAACATTCTTGATTATCTTCCTAAGAAAAGGAAGCACAGGAAGGAAATTCGCTGAATCCCTGGAAATGATTTCTTTTCCCTCTTTAGAGTTGGTGGTCTAGTGATAGAATTGTAGCTTGAAAGACAATTCCTATCAGAAATTTGAAGATGTTGTTCCACTGTTTTTGGTATCCAGCGTGTCTAATGCCAGTCCAGTTCACATACCTTGTGGTGACCTCTTCCTCTTGGAAAGCATTTAAAATCATTTCTTTATTCTTGGTGTTCTGAAATCTCACAACTTGAGGTAGGTCTTTTTAAATTATTCCTCTTATTGTTCAGCATTCTGAAGAACTATGACTTTCATCAGCTCTGGAAAATTTTCTTCAGTTATTTCTTTGCTGTTTTCATTCTTTCCATCTTATTGTTCTCTTTCTGGAACTCTGTTATACCCTAGGCCTCCTGGATTAGTCTCAATGCCTCTCTCTTTTTTTCTTATGTTTTCCATTTCTCACTTTATTCTATATTCTAGGAGATTTTCCCAATTTTTTCCAGTCCTTCTTTTAATTTTTAAAATTTTTCCAATCATATTTTTAATCTCTAAAAGCCCTCTTGTTCTCTAACTATTCCTTTACAATAACATAGTATTTTTATTTTGTGGATAATCTGCTTGAATTACCGTGAAAATATTGGGTTTTTTTTAAAGGTCCCTCCTAAGCCCTGAATTATCTTTATTTCATTCAGCACCAATTTTTGTTTGTTTACCTTAGTCTTTCTCTTTTGTGTTCTGATTCCTCTTACATTCCCGACACTACTTGATTATCCATTCTTACTAAAGAAAAAAAAAAAAAAACAGGTATACCTGTGTGAATTTGATCAGCTGCTGTGTTTGTAGGTCAGCTTTCCAGGAGGCCTCTGTCCTGTATGGGGGGATGGGGCTGTGTTGGCTGTCAGATTTCACTACAGCATGAACTGATGGGAAGCTGGCTGTCAGGCCTGGGCTTTCAAAATGCCAGAATATGAATGGTTCTAAGCTGGGGTACCAAATCCCATAAAAGCCTTTGCTATCCCCAGAAGATTCACTGAATAAAAGAGGCCTCTGTTTTTGCCTATTTTTTCTGGATGCTGACATTCTAAGTGTGGGGGGTATGGGAAAAGCACAGAGGTGCTGATTTGCACTGTAGATCTGTGTGTAAACCTGCAATTAACCTTCTCGTTTTGGCCACATTTCTTACTCTCAACTCTGGGTCCACCATGTCTCATAATTTCTAACAGGCAAATTGTATCCCACCCTTTTCGTAGCCCCTCTCTGGTGCATTCATCACTCAACACACTTTCATACGCTCTCCATCTTCCAGAAATTGTTGAATTCTCTTGTGTAATTGTGATCAGATCCCCTCCTCCACACCCTTAGCTGGTATAGTGAAGTTTATTCCTTTTTGTCCTTTTATTCTTTTCTTTCCATGGGTCTCAGGAAAGAAGAGAGAGAGGCTTAAGTGCATGGTACATCATCTTGAACTAGTAGTTTGCAGTTGCTTCTATTTTGTTGTTTCTTGTTGGAAATACTAATTCAAGTTAAATGATGAGTTACTTCCTTGGAAGTATTGCTCAGCTGCAGAATTGCTCAGCTGCAACCATTATGGTTTACTTTGTACCTAAGGAATCTGAGGTCCACTGAAGTTTAAGGATATCACAGACTGTGATAGAATGACTATAAATTTATGCCAAAAAACTAAGCAGGATTCTCAGATTTTGACAAAAACCTATTCTGGAATTTGTCTCATTCATTCTACAACATTTAATAAGTACCCTAGAATGGGCCAAATACTAAGGCTAAGTATTGGCAAGGTAGGGATATAAAGAAGAATAATGTCTAAACCTTACCTGTGAGGATAGCATAATCTGGTGAATAACTTGAGTTTACGTAGCATTTTGCAGTTTATAAATCAATTTTACCTATGGGGGACTCTTGACTCTTACTGATTTACCATTCCTAGTTTTAACTACTCCTAAGGGACTCCAAAGATCCATGACATGCAATAATTTATCCATTTGCTTAGGTACATATTTGAATCACATGCACCATGAGACTGTGCGGATGATATAGTTGCACGGGTGGTGAAAGAGCCAAGCTGACTCTTGTGGAATTGTGACGTAGGCTTGTGCGTATTGTGTATGAATTTATAACCAGATTCTTCAGCTATCTGAACTCCATAAGATTACAAACATGAAATGAATTTATTTTTCCCCTATCATTGCCTTCAACAATGTTCTTTCAAATCTCTCTTCTTCTCACTTTGACATCTCTGGTAGATTCCATAACTTTCCAAACACTTTCTGTTGTTATAAAGTTCAGTGTAGTCCAATTTAACATTTAAATTTCATTTCTTCCGATCCCTCAGCTCAGGTTTGAACTCTGCTAGGGAACTTAGAACAAGAGAGAGGGCCTGGTCTGCTATTTCCCCTCTCTTCTGGTTCTAGCTCTTTCTTTGTATTGTGAGAGATGGAAGGAGGAGTGTCTGTTACTTTCCTGGCCACTGCCCTAGTCCCATATGGTTTTTGCTACTGCAGCTAAGACTTAACTGACTAGCCATCAACACTTTCTTTGGGATAAGCATCCAAGGGCTGGTTCTCTCATGGTATACAAGTGGAATTCTCTGGGGAAGTCCTCACTGAACAGTTCTCTGATTTGAGAGATCAGCTTTGGCTTGCCCTCCTCCAAACCGCCTTTGCTCCATCCCCAGTGATTTACTCTCAGTCTCTTGCTGTCAGATGAGATACCACCAGGGAGGTGCAAGCTCATTTGCTTGACTTCACATCCTCCCATGACAGGTTGCTTCAATGCTGCCCTCTTTCTGCCCCCTTGGCTTTTTTCAACTCTTTTGCGATCTCTTTGGGTCTCATTTCTCCCTGCTAAAATGGGCACAGAGGGCTGACTAGTAAGTCTACCACATAAGAGGCGTCCAATAGGAAAATGAGATGCTGGTCTGCCCTTCCTACAGGCACCCTCCGTCTCTATGAGAGATTCTCTCAGAGCCTTCTGTAATGTGGAATTGGGAAGAGATGATCCACCCTTTCAATGAGGAGAGGAGGGAAAATCCTCTTGACTGTGATCATTGTATCCCTCCAACTCCACTGTCTCCAATCCTCCTGCCTTTTGCTTATGTAGACAGGGGTAGGAAGGGGGTAGAAGTGATGCAAGAATCTAGCCCACATTTTTTGTGGAGAGCTTTCTTTATCCTTAGATTTGGATCCTACTTGGTGATTCTGTGTCAGTAGGAAAAGTATTGCTCAACAGCCTGTTATACATTATATGCTATGTATATGGTCATATTAATTAATTGGGGACTTGACAAGGTGCTGGGAACATTTTTCTTGAATGTTTAGGACTGTATTCTCTTGAGATATGGTTTATAGACCATCTATATCTGAGTCAACTGGGGAACATAGGGAAAAAATGTGAATTCCTAGGCCCCATATCCTGAGATTTGTGATCTCAAGGGTTGAGAACGAGTCAGGAATCACGATTTTCAACAAACACTCCATGTTTTACTGATGCATACTAAAGTTGGACAACCACTTGTCTTGAGTCCACTACATACTATCTTATGTCCTCCCAACACGACTGTGAAGTAGGTAGGGCTGGTATTATCCCCATTTTACTGATGAGGAAATCAGATTAAAAGAGGACCATGGCTTGCCAAATGGCGGAATAATACTCCACTCAATGCTAGTGATAATGAATATCAACCTATCCCATTACTATGCCACTGACCATAATTTTGAACAAAGAGAAAATAACACTCAATTTATTTATCTTTTTTCAGATTACCAAAGTAATACACATTTATTTTAAGAAATTCATAAAAGTATAAAAAATTAACTAAAGAAATATAATCCCACCATTTAGATATAATACTTTGTTTCTGCATATATTATACCTGTTTTTGCAAAATTAAAATCAAACCACATTTTAATACTCTTTAGTAACCTGCTTCCTAAAATTAATGTGGAAATTTCCAAAATAAATTTGTAAATTTCTCCATCCATTAAACATTTTCTTCAACACTATTTTCAATGGCAATGTAGTCTTCCACTTAATGGATGTAGAATTCTTTATTTAACCAATCCCCTGTTGATGGACAATTTGATTATTTCAGCTTTTTACTATAGCAAAAATGTGCTTTAAATGTTAGGCTGCTTAAAGGGGAGTTGGGGAATATATTGCAGCTGCGTGGAGAAAATGAAGCCAATTTTTAAAGGTCATATTATACTGAAAGTGTACAGAGTCTGAAATGATATGGAACATTTCCACAGTCACTAAAAAAGATCATTTTATGTTGTTTTCTTAACAGGAACAAGACCATTTTGTTTTACTTTAACCTGTTCACCTGTACTAGTCCCTCTGTGCTGGTAAACCTACAGTGCCCTACCACACAGGTAAGGTAAAAAATGTCTCGCTGGCATTGTTAGCAATTATGAACATTCTTGGAAGAGAGAATTCAAAATTTCATTTGAGTTCTGTGTCTCTGTGTGTGTGTGTGGTTAATGGTGAATTTATGGAAGCTGGGAAGATGTAAGTATGAGCTCATGTTTGTTCATATACAATCAAAACTCAGCAGGAATTAATCATTTTAGCATCACTAAGGAATCTCAGTGATTATCTTGTCCCACCACCTGTTTTTATAAATGAACAAACTGCAGTCCAGAGAAGTGGAGATATTTTTCTCAAGGTCAGTGTTAGGAAGAATAAAGGTAGCTACTCTAACTAACAAATCCCAATTTTTCAGTGACTTAACATAATGAATTTTATGTTGGCCATATAGCAGTATGAGGCTGGTGTTTGTGGTCAGTGGGAGATCCTCCTCCAGGCTCCTTTCATCTGGTGGCTCTGGCATCCCTTAGGTCCTCCTCATCATCTGCATCCAGATGCTGGAAGGAAACAGAGAAGATGAATAAAGCACTCCTGCTCAGAAGTGTCACACATTGCATTTCCACTCATATGTCATAGACACATTAGTTTTATATGTTCACACCTAGATGCAAGAAGGAAGGAATCGAGCAATGCAGGTGTGGGCTGAGCAGCCTCTTCTGTACCATGGAACAAGTGAACAAGAGGCACAAACTTCAATAGGCGGTTAGTTGTGTCTTCCATAGTCTATTGCTCTGTCCTCCAAACACCCTTCTTCCCAAGGGAGACAACACAGAGTCCCATGTAGTACTGTCTTTACCCCAAATTCCAGGATCTATGGGTGATGCACAGTCTCTCCATCAAGTCTTGAAACTAAATGCATAATGGGGAATGGGGATGGGGAAATTAGAAAACAAACTTCTATTCAGAAAGGGAGAAGAGGGAAATGCACAGAGGTCTCAGGTGCATGGTACTGGAGAACAGTCCTTTATTCCACTTGGATTGTGTTCTCTGAGAGGAACTCTCTTTTCCATTGCATCCTGTGGTCCTTTGCTCGACCACCTGAGAGGTTATTTCCTGTCTGTTAGCCTCAGGCCATGCTGAGCTTAACAGTGGAAATATGCCCTCTTGGGGGCCATATAGCTTTGAAGCTCTCTTCCTGTTGTGCAAGTTTAGCACCTCAAAGATTGTTTTAACAGTCAAAGTCCTTTCAGGTTAGCTCATGAATTCTTTGACAGTACAACTACCCCCAAAACTTAGTAGGCTTCTGACGGACTTGCCTCTTGGTTCCATGTACCAGTAAACCACACCCAGAGATCTTCCCTAGAACTTGTTTGTGAATCTGCTTCTTTTCTTTTTTCCTCATCTCTCTCAAAGACTTTTGATGTCTATATCCTGCTGCGACTAAAGCCATCTTGAGATATTGGCATCTAGTTCTATGACCACTTCTCCCACAAGACCTTGTTTTCTACCACAGCCACCCACTCCCAAGGTCAAACCTTTGACCTTGTTAGTACCAATACTTACCCTTTGTAATCTCAATTTCAAACATCCCACTGTCTGATCATCTCAATCCCTCCAATACTCCAACTCCAATGAATAATCTTTCAATTAAAACCAGCTTCAAATACCGCAGAATCATCCTTGATTCCTCTCTTTCTCTCACACTCATGTTTGAGCTGTCAGCTGATTCCTCTGGTCTCCATTCAAAATACACCCTGGACCAAACTACTTTTCACCATCTCTTCCTTTTTTCAAGGAACCATCATCTCTTTTCTAGATTAGTTTAATGACTTCCTGACTGGTCTTGCCCCTGCCTCCAGCCCCTTATACTTATAGTCTCTTTTCCACCCAGCAGCCAGTGTGATCCTGTTACATGTAAGTCACATTATGTCCCCCCTTTGTTCAGTTCCCCTCAATAGCTTCCCAAAGCTTATTATTATCGAGATTAAAAGCCAAAGTCCTAACAATGGCCTACAGGGTCCTTCACTGTCTGCCCAACTCTCTGACTGCGTATGCCATTACTCTTCCTGGGCTCACTACACTCGGGTCATACAGGCCATCTGTTGTCTTCACAGAATCCAGGAAAGCTCCTCCCTCAGAGCCTGAGACTTTGCTCTTCTCCCTGCCCAGAGTATTCTTTCTCCAGAGGACTATGCTTGATCACTAGTCTTCCTCAAGTCTTTCTTCAAATATTACCTTTTTTGTATGAGGGCTTCCTTTTTTTTTTATTGAGGTAGCATTGGTTTATAACATTATATAAATTTCAGGTGTACATCATTGTATTTTGATTTCTGTGTGGACTACGTCATGTTCACCACCCAAAGACTAATTACTATCCATCACCATACACATATGCTCTATCACCTCTTTCACCCTCCTCCGTCCCCCCATTCCCATCTGGTAACCACCAATCTAATCTCTGAGTTTGTTGTTGTTGTTCTTATCTTCTATTTATGAGTGACATCACATGGTATTTGCCTTTCTCCCTCTGACTTATTTCACTTAGCATAACACCCTCAAGGTCCATCCATGTTGTCACAAATGGCAAGATATCATCTTTTTTTTTTATAGCTGAGTAGTATTCCATTGTGTATATACACCACATCTTCTTTATCCATTCATCCCTCGACGGGCACTTAGGTTGTTTCTAAGTCTTGGCTATTGTGAATAATACTGCAATGAACATAGGAGTGCATACATCTTTACGAATTCGTGTTTTCATGTTCTTTGGATAAATACCCAGCAGCGGAACAGCTAGATCATATGGTAGTTCTATTCTTAATTTTTTGAGGAATCTCCATACTGTTTTCAATAGTGGCTGCACCAGTTTACACTCCCACCGGCAGTGTATGAGAGCTCCCTTCTCTCCACATCCTCTCCAACACTCGTTATTTCTTGTCTCATTAATTATAGCCTCTCCAACACTCATTATTTCTTGTCTCATTAATTATAGCCACTCTGATGGGCGTGAGGTGATATCCCATTGTAGTTTTGATTTGCATTTTCCTAATAATTGGTAATGTTGAACACCTTTTCGTGTGCCTATTGGCCATCTGTATATCTTCTTTGGAAAAATATCTGTTCAGATATTTTGCCCATTTTTCAATTGGGTTGTTTGTTTCTTTGTTGTTGAGATGTATGAGTTCTTTGTATATTTTGGATATTAACCGCATATCAGACATATAGTTTGTAAATATCTTGTCCCATTTGTTAGGTTGTCTTTCATGTTGTTGATGGTTTCCTTTGCTGTGTAGAGCTTTTTAGTTTGATGTCGGCCCATTTGTTTATTTTTTCTTTTGTTTCCTTTGCTTGGTCAGACATGGTACTTGAAGACTGCTAAGACTGATGTCAAAGAGCATAATGCCTATATTTTCTTTTAGAAATTTTATGGTTTCAGGTCTCACATTCAAGTATTCAATCCATTTGGAGTTAACTTTTATGTATGGTGTAAGATTATGGTCTACTTCATTCTTTTGCATGTGGCTGTTGTGAGGCCTTCGTTGGCTGTCTGCTTAAAATTGGAACCCCACCCGGCTACCTTTCATCCTCCTGCCTCCTTTTAGCCTTATTTTTCTCCACAGCATTTTTTACCATCTAATAACAAACAATTTTACTTATTTATTACCCATCTTCCCCTGTAGAAGGTAAACTGCTTGAGGGCAAGGATTTTTACCCGTTTTGTTCACTACTGTGTCCTCAGTGCCTAGAACAGGTTCAGAGTGGGTGATCAATAAATATTTGTTGAAAGAATGAGTAAATTAATATCTCCCTACTCCCAGTCTAGGAATTTTTTCACTATACCATACAAATTTCCATGATGAAACAAACAAAAAAAATCCTTGCGCATTATGCTTTTGTGTTACATTTCGTATTTACTATACCATCCTTTCTTCATAGCAAATGTAGTGTTTTAACCATCAGTGTAATTCTCTTCCACTCACCAAATCCTAATTTGTATTAGAGTGTTAAACCTATATGAATTGAAGATGTAAAAATAATGATGAAGAACTACATTCAAAGTGCCCCTTTATGGTTACACAAAGAATCAGAATTGAGTCGGAATATATTTTAGCTGCCAATATTGCAGGCTTGCTTTTAGTCTGCCAGGCAATAGTGTATCTACTGATCCAAGCCATATTTTTTATGCGTTATGTTTTTTGTTAACTGCCAGCGTGGTCCAGACATGTGTCACAAGCATTTAAAGGACAGACTGTGATCAATTAGGATACCCAACCTCAATGTGACCTTCATTTTTGGCTAATTATATGTTGATTGCTACTAATCAGCTCCCTATTTGAAGTGAACAATTTGGTCTGATAGAGGGAGAGAGTAAAGAGCAGTTGCTATATTATTTTTTAACAGCTCGTTTGTGTCTGGAATGAAATTTGATGTGATTCTCTTTAACAAACCACTTTTTACCATTTTAATTACTTTCTTTTATATGTTGCATACACAGCACTTTTATAGTGTAGTATACATTGTATATATGTGTAATTATAAATGACGAAATCACCATAGTCCCACTCACTAGTTCCTACCATCATTTAAAGCCTATGAAAGCATTAGTTCTTTCAGTTTTCACTTTTATAAATCCATTTAAATGTATCCAGAAGGGGAACTAATTCAGTTATCCTTCAAAGTCATATAAGTAAGTTGTCAAATTCTAAATGTCTGTAAAGTATCTCCTAATATGTTAACGGTTTATTCAGCTTATCTCCAATCAGAGTAAACTTTCGACATTTGCATTGATGTTAACCTTAGCCTCTCCCCAAAAATGTGAACATGTTGGATGCTGTGAATGTCTCTAACAGTTTTTCAGCTTTTGTAGAAAGATACCTGTGAAACTTCCAATATTTCCTCTAGAAGTGTGTGAGTACGTGTATGTGATTGTGTGTGTGTGTTCACATGCGTGTATGAGAGACTGAGTATGAGAAAATACATATGGATGCATGAATGTGGAGATGGGTTGTTTACCTTGTCAAAACTTCTAGAAGAAATTGGACTGCTGCTAGTACAAAACAATATTAACTGTGAGATTTGAGGGATCCATTTAGTTAGTTATCCATCTACTCCCGTAGCTGTGGGGTCGACACCAAATATCCTTGTGTATAGCAGAAACATGGCCAAAAAGATGGGAAAGAGACGACAGCTCAGCAGCAGTGTTTTTACTTAACTGCCAACAGAGGTTGAGCTACAATCTGACCAGTGAGAATAGTGACCAAAGTACAGTAGGGAGATGGAGCAGTCAGAGCTGAGACCCTTTCACGAGGAGGCAGTGAAAGTGAAAGAGAGAATGTGCAAGGACTGACTGCAACTCTCATGGCTTAATGTGATCTTAGTTTTTTATGTCAAATAAAAGAAAAAGCAATAGAGCACATCTTCCCTGATTCTACTTCTCTCTGTGGAGTTATTAATTGGATTTCAGTCACTCCACAGTGGCTCTGTGGACTAGCACAATGATCTGGTTTGGCGTTAATAGGCCCCCAAAGTTCATTAATGTAAAATAATTGCATCGGTGACCTCTCTGTCCACATTAGACTGGTGTTGCTAAAAGACTACAACAATGATTGATTGCCACAAATAGCCCTAATTTTGTTAGTTTGTTATGGTAATACAACCCCAATTATGATTTGAGAATTGTTGTTGAAAACGCACTGGCACTGATGGTTATTAGTGGTATAAGTTATCAACGTTTGGAGCATTTTTAATCACCGTTTTATTCGCATGTAGGAAAGGAAGCAAGATTCTAACCCTGAAAATGCATAAACTACACAGGCAAGATTAATCTTGCATTATACTCTTATCTACTAATACAGAAAATGATAAGAAAATATTTTATTAAAAGTCCATCACTGTCGTGTGGTAGATGCACCAATTTACACGTGATAAAATTGAATAGAACTGCTCACACACACATACCCGCATATGAGCACATGTAAAACTGGTGAAATCTGAATAAAGTTAGTGGATTATAATAATATCAGTTTCCTGGTTGTGTTATTGTACTATAGCTACACAAGTTATTACCATTGGACGAAACCGGGTAAAAGATATTTTGGAATCTTATTATTTCTCAGAGCTGCATGTAGATCTACAATTATCTCAAAATCAGAAGTTAAAAATAAGTCCATCATTGTACAGCATCTTATTGTTTTAACAGAACATCGCCATCAAAGGTCAAGGAGTAGAGATTGATAACTAGTACATGAAATTCCATTTTTTGCAGTAAGATTAGAAAACTGATTTAAGTTTCCTACATGGGAATTGGTGCTTTGCTCTTTATTGTGGTGGATAATTTAGAAGTCTAACCTTATAGATACTTGCTTGGTTTGTTCAACTCAATTCAGTTCCCACCACTATGTTCCTTTTCTTCACAGATCTGTGTTTCCAAGTGCCCAGAAAAATTTTTAACCTACCTGGAAATGCAATTTATGTACAGAAATGACAAAAACTACTGGTCATACTACAGTCAGTTCTGCAAGTCTGCTTTTGCTAAGCCTGCAAAGGTATGTGTGTTTAAGCTTAAAACTGGAGAAGAATTTAACTTTTGTTTCAATCTCAAGTGTAACATGAGCATTTGTAACTGAACAAACTCCTAAATCTTCTAGGAAATAATTACTAAAGGTACCATTCAGTTAAAACACAAATGCACATGTACATACAAAAAAACACACACCATTTATAGCATGTCATTTTGTAGAAGTGGAGTGTTATGCAAGACTGTTAAGTCTGGAAAATTAGCTTCAACTATTCCCTGACACCAAAAAATTCTCTACTTCAATGGATTTTTTGCTGTCACGAGCTAGGAGCTAATGTCATTTGAAGTCACTATTTTATTAATGTGGTGCTAAAGCTCTATGGCTACTTAGTAACAAGTAGAATTTTACTTCCAAACATGATTTGATGATTATTCATTAGAAAAAAATCCCAAAACCCTACCCAGGTTTGAGATTTATAAGGGAATTCTAAAGCCTCATTATGTTAAATAGTAGTAATGGCTTCTAAATTAGAGAAGATGCTATTTTTCCAGAAATAAAAATGGAAGGACTAGAGACTCAGGATGTGACTAAGAGAAAGATACACAACTTCAAACTGTGCCTTGTTTTCAGCAGGTCTGGTTTTATTATTATTGATTTGACTGAATTAGAGTTAGGATATTTAAGAGCATTCATCAAACAAGTATGTGTGTGATACCCTCACAATTACTCTTATTGGGGGAGAAATTTGGAATAATGAGATTATTACGGAGTTAAATTTTTAAAGGACAGAATTTTTATATGGAGAGTAAAAGTTGTGCTCACATAGCCTTTGAGATGTTAACATACTCTTCCTTCCATTTTAGACTCTCACACAACTTTTACTGGATGATGATTGTCCAACAGCAATTTTTCCAAGCAGACCTTGTAAGTGGTTATTACTTTACCTTGTAAACACAGAATCTACCAAGAAGTTAATTCAGTTCCTTTGTTTCACAATTGATGAAACGGAGGCCATGAATAGTCCTATGACTGGCCCCAGGTCCCAGAGTTAATTAGGAAGAAAGCTGACGCTAGAGACCATCCTCCCAACTCCAGCCAGGGATCTTTCCATTGGAGTTCGGTGAGTTTTTTGGTTTTGTTGCATAAACATACATAAAAAGAATGAAAATTTATTTTTAAAAGCCCAATCAGATTGATTATTTGGTGTTATCTGAGCACACAAAAGCACACACACAGACACACATTTACACACCCACCCCTGAATTCAGCCACAAAGTTTGTTCAGAAATTGCCTGAGGAGTGAGGGTGGGACATATACTTGTCTTTCCATCTTGAAATTTGAAATATTTATGTCTCCTAAATGAATCAATATTTTATTTCTTTAAAATTCATAAACTTTAAAGTTTATATAAACTTTAACTCTTTTTAGAAGAAAAGGAAACAATCACCCATTTTCCTTTCTTAACGACATAATCCTAACTACAGAGAAACAACTGTACATAAAGATGTCCATCACAATTGTAGTCAAAATAACCAAAAAAAAAAAAAGGGAAAGGAAACACTCTAATGTCCAAGGACAAGAGAATGCTTAAATCAGTTACGAAGTGTTCATTAAATGAAATACTTTAGAATTATTAAATATGTTAAGTATTGTGTATTGTTATTATGTTAAATAAAATGCTATATGCATTATAATGACAAGCATGTGTAAATTAAAATAAGCAAAAACAAAAATTATTCAAAGAAAAAGATTGGAAAGAAATATGCCAAAATGTTAAGTGGTTGTTTTGGAGGTGGCAAAACTATGGACATATTTTCTCTTCCTTCATATTTTCTCTACTTTTCTCTTCTTTTTTCTATTTCTCCATTTTTTTCACAATGAGTATATGTTTCTTTAAAATGGAAGAGAGCCAATAGTCCTCAGTTTGAGTAAAAAGTTGGTACCATTGAAGTAGCTACCACCAAACACCATGTCATACACGCTCCCATCATGCTTCTCTGGGTCGTTACAGATCCCAAAGCAAAGATGTAGGTCCTACAAGCAACTGCATTTTACCAGGAACCCCTGGGCAACAAGTGTCTGTAGCCAAGAACAATGTTAAGAATTTTTATGCAAAAAGGTAAAAATGAATCATTAGTCGGTGAAGATATAATAGGTGTAAAAGTATAGGACATTGTCCCTGCACTTAGGAGTACAGTTTGGTTAAATCACACAATATAAAATGTACATCAGAGATGCAAAAATGAATAAGACACAGTCCCTCACAGTCTGGTGAAGGAGATGTTAAGGTAGACATTGTAATCAACTTGTATTCCCGCTAATAGGGGATTAAGTATAGTACTTAATGGAATAGTATGCAGCTAATAAAATTCAGTCATTAAAGAGTTTATAAAAGGAAAAAAGTAATATTTTAAAAAAATGAAACAAGGGGAAAAAGACTGCGTCTGCTGTTTGGTTATGACTCTCAAAAAAAAAAAAAAAGGAAAAGAAATTTCTTGTAGAAGAAAGATTGGAAGGAAATTCACCAAAATGTTAGTGTAGTTCATTGTGAGTGGTAAGACTTTGTATAGTTTTGTATCTTCCTTCATATTTTCTCTACTTTTCAAATATATAATGAGGATATTTAGTAACTGAAGCTAACAGGTTGGATGAGATTGACCAGAAATAGTATATAGAACAAGTTGGGGGACTCTGTAGGTGAGAACAGTTATATTTCAGGAGTGGAAAGGGAAGCATATATAGAAAGACAGAAGGAAGGGAAGGAGAATCTGGGCATGTAAGCCAAGGGAAGAGAGTTTCAGAGGCAGGGGTTGTCTACCACACAAAGACTCAGAAAAGTTAACTCATTCAACAGCAGATATTGACCGAGTTCCACTATGTACCAAGCAATGTGCTAGGTAATGGGTTAAAGCAGGATGAAGACTAAAAAAAACATTTGGAGATTTTGGCAATTAGAAGGTTGCTGGGAGGACAATTTCTGTGGAGTGGTGGGGGCAGAAATATGATTGGATTGAGAAGGAATAGATACAGCAGCTAGAGAATACTGTGTCAAATTAGCCAGAGAAGAGCAGGAGAAAGATGGGGAGGATGCTGAAGGAATCGGCCGTGTTATAAATGCTACAGAAGATGGAGGGGGCAGACAAGAGATCATTTTAAGCCAGGGAAGTCAGGAAAAGCTTTATAAAGACATATTTCTTCTCCTATATCAACTACTTGAATATTTTCAAGTTTAAACTTTTTATGAACCCATGCAAATCTGTGATACTTCTTGTAAGAAAAACATACAGAAATGATCCATTTCTGATTTCTCTTCCTTCTTCATTTAAAATTGGGATTTTAAAATATTTTTAGTAATATAGATTTGTAAAGAGGCAAGGATTCTATTTAGTCAAAATAAATACATAGAAGGTTGAACAGTGAGTTAACTCTTCTGAGAAATTAGGCTAATCTACTAATCTAGAAAGTTTGGGCCATTTTTGATACCTTTAGAATTTCCATTTTCAGCCCCTCTAAAAAACATGTAAATAAAAAAGCTAGAAGGGAGACAGATTATTAAGACTTTATAAATAAAAATTCAGTTGGCTTGGTAGTATCCTAAAGTTTGAGCTGGTTTTTATTTCCCAAGGAATTATTCACTAATCTCCATTTTTCAAGGTTTCTCTCAAGGAGTATCTAAGATTTTTTTTTTTTAATAACAAAACTAAACTCTTCCAGTCATACAAGTAAACGTAGCCTTTTTATTAAAATGTGTTTACCATGGGAGATAACATTATTAGTATTCCTCTTTTAAAACCTGTTCTGTGTATCTTATTTATGGCTACTTGATGAATATATCATATATAAAATAATCAACAAGTTTAGAATGTAGCTTCAGATTGTGATCATATTTACTTTCTATGTCAGTCTTGGAACAATCAGAAAATCTTCTGATCATCAAGTAATGGGCAATTATCTATATTGAGCAATTTACACATCATCTAACAAGAATTTGCTTATAAATAACAGAAAGCTTAAGAAAGGGACATCATGTAGGAGGAAGTAGAAAAGTGATTACCATAATGTTAATTTATTTTTACAGTTCTCCAGAGATGTTTCCCTGAATTCTCTGCTAAAAATGGCACTTTAACAGTAGGAAATAAGACAACATTCGACGATGGAAGTGGAAAGAAAAGAAATGCTGTAGAACTCAGAGCAGCTGCAAAGTATGTCTGTTTATATCCCCATTTTCATGTTTGATGCATCCCATTGTTGTACCCAACGCTGAAGCTTCCTTAGGTTACAGATTGTAGAGGAAGAATTGTGTGTTGTGAAATATACACGTCACTGTCAGTTGGAGAACTTGGTATGTGTTCATTAAGAAAAGCATCTAAAAGAGAAGCCAGAATGAATTGGAAAGAACAAGGATGTCTTGTCTTTCAAAATGGTTAAATCTTTCATTATCAACAGGTAGAGAAATGAGACATCAGGAAAGACCTTAATATATTTACTTTTTGAAAGAATAGAATTAAAAAAACCAATACTTTTTTAAAGCACCATTTTAAAAAATGACTGAAATAATGAAACTGCCGGATGTTTTAAAAGGAAGAAGGCCTTAAGAAAGGTGAAACAACCGTGACAGTACACTTCAGTACCGTACCAGATTTCTACAGACGAACTACAATGAAGTAAATATACTACTTCCCTCGGCTGTTCACGTTGAGGTGCTCCAAGTTATTAGGAAATATAATGCCCTGGGTGCACACACTCATATGTATGCAACACATAAACACACAGAGTACCGCTGCATAGTTGAATTCAGTTGTTGAATTAAAAATGAAAAATAAAAATATTCCAAAAATTTATTTCTCTTTCTTGAAAGAGTATAGCGGTCCAAGTAGAATAGTGCAGTTCCTGCATATTTAGAATATAATAGCAACATGGGTGAATTTCACAAATACAAAGATCTGTATAAGAAATTACAAAATAATAATACAGTTCCATTGATAAAAAAATTCAAAAATAGGCACAACTAAATTAAATTATTCTGTGATGCATATGTAAGTGGTAAAACTAAAGAGAAAAATAGAAAATTATCATTACAAAATTCAGGATTGTGGTTACTTTAGGGGAAAGGAGAGGTGTTGTAGTTGGGGCACACAAGGGAAGGGATGACAACATTGTAGTTACATAAATGTGTTCACTTTGATAATTCATCAAACTGGACGCTAATGATTTGTGCACTGTTCTGTATGTGCCCCATCGTGCCTTCCTCCTACAGAGCTGTCAGAGGATTAGGAAGGGGAATTAAAGATGATGTTTATTCTTGACTCTATGGATTTTGTAAGTTAAAAGCTGATCTTATCATTTAAATTCATTATAGTGAGGTTTCTGCAACATTGAGGGCATGTTGCATATGTTGGGAAAGGATCTGTTCGCCATTCTTGAAAGCCATGTTTTCTCTGTGTGTAGCTATAGCCACATTTGTAGGTTTACTGAAGTGACATCTCATCTATTATTGTGGGTAGGAAAAGAGTCACTACTGATAACTGGTCTCTAAAAATATGCTTTGAATAGCAGCTTACAAAATCCCGTTTATTATAACAAGAACATTTCTGTTTCATGGTAGTCAAAAAATAATGGATTTTTTCTTTCTTTGAATTCAGTGGTATCAATAAAATCCTTGATGCAAGGACGATTGGAATGAAAGTGTTTGAAGACTATGCAACGACTTGGTATTGGATTCTCATGTAAGTGAAAACGTAGGTGTTTCTTCTCCAGCCTCATTTTGATTCTATCTTTGTAGAACTCTTTCTTCAAATTTCTCATTCATATTTGTGGATAAAGGGTTGACTCAGACCTCAGTTCCTGCCATTTTCTTTTTCAGATAGAGTGAAGATGGGGCATAGATACTTGGAAATATGCCCAGCATTAGCAGAAAGTTATACAAATGTAAATTTTAATTGTATTCATTAAATTACTAATTAAAGTGTTCTTGTATACATATACTTCAAGTCACATGGAGGCAGCATCCATAGTACGTTCGCTTCTCATCACACGTTACAGCGGATGCAGTGTCATTTCTCTGGTTCTGTTTTCTTATTTGTCCTTCTCTTGACTTCCAAAGGATCATTCTTATTTTTAAATGCATCCCTTCCACATAATGTTTGTCATCATCATCATCAAAGGTCATTGTATTTGTGAGGAGCTGAAAAAAATATATGAAGGGAGGAGGAGATTTAAAATTTTCAGACATAAGGTTTGCATTCCTAAGAGTTAAGGGAAAATGCAATCACTCTACTGGATCGGGTCCATTTGTTTTGATATATCTAAGGCTGTCTTTACTGTCTGGCTCTTGTGTCACCTTCTTGTGCCTTAAAAGCATTCATGGTTCCCTAGTGATCAAAGAATAAAGTGAAAACTTCTTCAGATACTTACAAGGCCCTTTACAACCTTGCCCAACTTAATTTCCCAGAATCGTCTGCACCCATGTTTCTTGATTAACTGTACATTCTAAACATATCAAATAGTACGTCCATTGATAGACTGTCAAACCCTCACCTCCCCGTTTTTGCACATTCTGTTCTCTTTCCTAGCATATCCTTCCTTGTGTCTTGGGCAACTCCATCCAGTATTTAAAATCAGCTTCCATGTCATTTATGAAATCTTTCTTGACTTCCCCAGATATAATTAATTACTTCCTCTTCTGTGTTCCTCATACCCATTGTATATGTGTGTGTTCACACCTATACACACACACACACACACACACTTATCTCCTATATAGCACCTACCATTTTATATTTTATTTACCTGGCTCTTTCCCCCTGATAAACTATGAACTCTTCAGTGTGGTAACTATGTCTAACTTATCTTTATTTTCCTAACTCCTAGTATGGCTCTTGGAACATAGAAGATGCATAGAAAACGTAGGTTCAAGGAACAGTTATAAAAACACTCAGGGAACAAGATAGATACATTTAACTCTAAGGTGCTTAATAAATTGTATTGTGTGTAAAATACTAGTGAGTGGTTTTTAGAGCTATAAAACTGGATACTTTTTGAGGTTTTACTCATTCTGATGCTTTGTCTTAAATAATTACAGTCATTATTTTCAGTGTGTATCAGGATTTCAGGGTATATCTCCGTAGCAGAGATTGTAGCCTATATTTGACAGTAGTTAAACTGGTTTCCCTATTGTCAGACCCAAATACCGCTAGATAATTTCCATGTTTCTTCTCTATTTTGTCTTTTCCACTCCTACTTGAAAAGGTATGCATTGTAATAGACTCTCCTGCCCACCTCACTCCCAACACACACGTTGAAACGCTCTCCACCCAGGCACCACTCCCACCACTAGAACATAAACACCTCACTTTATTTTCAACTCTTCTGCTGTCATCTGTTTCATAAATATAAAGCCAAACATTGATATGCTGGGACGTAGTTTATTCAGTTAGAATTTTTATGCAGGAATTTAAAACACACAGTAAATAGCTATATCTCCTTTTTTCCCTCTGACGTTTTTGAATATGCCCCTTGGACTATGCCATAGAATAATCCTTCAACCACATTGAATATTTAAGCATTGAAGTATCTGTGATTTAAAAGAGAATGGCAGCATCGGCCCTGTGGCTTAGTGGTTAAGTGCGCGCACTCCGCTACTGGCGGCCCGGGTTCGGATCCCGGGTGTGCACCAACGCACCGCTTCTCCGGCCATGCTGAGGCTGCGTCCCACATACAGCAACTACAAGGATGTGCAGCTATGACACACAACTATCTACTGGGGCTTTGGGGAGAAAAAGGGGGGGGGAAATGGGGAGGATTGGCAATAAATGTTAGCTCAGGGCCGGTCTTCCTCAGCAAAAAAAGAGGAGGATTGGCATGGGTATTAGCTCAGGCCTGATCTTCCTCACAAAAAAAAAAAAAAAAAGGCATTGCCTCTAAAAGAGAATGGCTTCTGAAGTTAAAAGTAGAGGCTCTGCAGAAATATGACCTAAGAAGTTACTTTCATGCTGTGCTGTCATCTATCTAGTGACAATAATTATTAAGATTTTTGTTCTTAAAGATAGCACTTGAAGACAATAAACTCAATAAATGTGCCAGGCTCTGTCTGTTGCTGTGTCTGGAAACTTGCAGATAGCACCAGGGGTGTTAGTTCTTAAAAGAAGCGTCATTCAAATTTCCAACCTTAATGTGTTCTCTTTGATGAAATTACCTAGAAGAATCCAACATGACTTTACCCTGGATATATGGGGGAAAAAGAAGTATCTCTAGCAGCTCAGCCAAACCCCAAGAATAAATTAAAACAGAAGGAAAACAGTCATGCTGATGATTGCTTGATAAAGTCAGGTGGCCCAGGAGACACAGAAACCTTATCATGGCTCCAGATAACTGTCCGCGGTTCACTGGTGACCTGAAATAGATGTCTGGTGATGTCAAACAGCACACCTATTAGAGATAATTAGGCTATGGTGACAACGACTACAAAATCATGGATTTTGGAACTGTGTGGGACACTTATTTTTCTTATCTTTCTGCCCTAAGACTGTTCCCTTACTTCTAAACAGTTATATGGCATAAGGTTTCCATTAGTCACCAGCTAGACAGAACAGCACAAATTCATCACGGATCTGTTTTACAATTTATCACTTAGTGAGAAAGTATGAAATAAAAAAAAAATAGGACATGGAAACTATGGCAGATAGGCCTAAATTGTATGTTGGAGGAACTGTGTTTTTCCATGAACAGTGGTTGACGCTGGACTTCAGTTTACCCAGGCACACGAAGATGACTCATGTATAAAGTCCCTGATGGTCTGGTCTTTCATATGAAAGTCTTAAAAGAAACCATTGTTTATACTTTTTAACGTTATAAATGTTTCTATAACCAGGTAAAATACAATAATCTGAGAATTATTTCGAATAGAAAAAAGGTGTTGTCTTGCTGTTTTCCTTATGTGATATTTAGCACACTTGATCCCTGTATCTGTCGTGTGCTTTTTCCTCTAGTGGCCTGACTATTGCCATGCTCCTCAGTTGGATGTTTGTGATACTCCTGAGGTTCACAGCTGGATTCCTCTTCTGGATCTTCATGTTGGGTGTGATTGGAATTATAGGTTATGGTAGGTAACACTCCTCTTAAAACCACCAGATAAAAAAATAATCTTTTTCTTTTCAATTGCCATTATCAATTACCAGAAAGCATTTTATTTGCAGTGAATTTAATTATTCTTTACTCCCCACCAAAAAAGTGTTAAATTGAGAAAATTGATTTAATTTTCCATATATTGTCTCCATAACCTTTTTCTTCTTCATCTTGAAAAAAAGTGCTATCAAAATGTTCTTCTCTTTTTCCCTACCAGCCTTTGGTCTCTTGCCTCATGGGTATTAAGAAGGAGGTAAAAAGAATCCCTTTTAGGTTAATAAAAACATTTCAGACAACTTCTTTTACTCCTTTGACTTTTCTATATGATCAAAGACGAGGTCTGCTTAGTTACAGAAGTGTGATCTATTTTTCTTTTTCAATTTAGTACTTTTAATCCAGATCCTGTCACACATTTTAGTAATTGGCCAGTACTCCATAATGAGGCATCGCCCTCTAGAGGCAAGTATTTGGAATTACACTCATTGGGTGGAGAGTTACTTTGTATCAAGATTGAAATCTAACCACTAACTCAGTCCCCCCAAAAGCAGTACAGGTACTATGTGAACACAAAAAAGGAATTCAAGTCTCTCCTGAGGAACAGTGTAGCACTATAGCAGCTCCCTTTCGCCTTCTGACAAATGTCTGGGCCGATATGTGAATGTTTGAAAGGTTTCTATTCAAAAGAATGATTTTCCTTACAATACTACTTAGATTGACAATACAGTTTTATGGTAGCAGACACCAAAAATAGCAATTTCCTGATTCTGTCGCTGGAAGAAAAAGAGCTTTACACACATCAATCTAAGAATACAGTTGAATCTCCAGTTTCTGTAGTTAGCCTGAGTTCTAATCCCAGCTCCACAACGTACAACTGAGGAACTTTGGAAAAGTTTCTTAAGGATTGTAAGACCCAGTTTCCTTATCTATAACATCAGCACAATAATGGTATCTCCATCTCACAAGTTTGTGAGTTTAAGTGAGACCCTGAATAGAAACCTCTTAGAATGGTACCTGGAACACAGTAAATACTCAGTACATGTTGGGTTATTGTTATTATCCTCCTAGTTGTCCTCAATGAGGATATGAGAGTATCATGGTAGCGCAAGGAGTGCACATTGCAATATTAGTAGCATGGGTCTTTTTGAGAAGAGATCTGAGGAAAACACTTGAAGGAAGCAATGGAATTAGCCATTGGAGATAAGGGAAAAATCCCACACAATGAGTACAGCTAGAGCAAAAGCCCAAGGGTAGGAGTGTGTTGAAGAAATGACTAGAAAGTTGATGTGGATAGGTGTACTGAGTAAAGGGGGGAATAGTAGGAGTTGAGGTCATAGAATTTATGGAGGGACAGAAACTTATAGATTATTGTAAGATCTTGCCTTTTACTCTGAGTGAAATAGGGAGGCATGGTAGAGTTTTGAGTAGAGAAGGGAAGTGAAGTGATGATCGTTCTAGTCCGTGTGTTGAGAGGAGACAGTAGTGAGGCAAGAGAAGAATCAATGAGACCAGTGAAGAGGCCATTGCAGTAATCCATGTGCCAAATGAGGGAAGCTCAGACAAGGTGGTAGCAATGAGGATGGGCGTGTATGTTTTTAATGTAGAACCAACAGAATTTCCTGATGAATTGAATGCAACTCATGAAAGAAAGTGAGGAGTCAAGAATGACTTCAAAGGTTTCAACCTGAGCAACTGGAAAGAAGGACTTGCCATCAACTGAGACAGGGGATGTTTGAGTGGAACAAGCATGGTGTAGGAAGGGGATTGATCAGAATCTTAATTTTGAGTTTGAGATGTGTATTAGGCATTACAGTGGAGATGTCAAGTAGGCCATTAGATATACGGTCTGGCATTAGAGAGAGAGCTAGCCTAGAGAAATATATTTAGGAGTGAGGAGCACAGGAGCCGTGAAACTAACTGAGATTGCCAAGGAAATAAGTGTAGACAGAGATGTGGACCAAGGACTGGGCTCTGAGGCCCCCTAACATTAAGAGATCAGGGAAAAGAGAAAGGACCAGCAAAGACAACTGAGGAGAAACAGTCTTTTTTTTGAAACCAAAGGCACGTGATGTTCTAGAAGCCAAGTGAAAAAAAAAGAGTGATCAACCACGTCAAATAGGGCTGATAGGTCAAGAAAGATGAGAATTGAAAATTGGCCTTGGATTTAGAAATGTGGAGAAATCATTGGTGATCTGACGAGGGCAGTTTTGGCAGAATAATGAGGGAAAAAAGCCTGGTTAGAGTAGATTGAAAGAGGATGGGAGGAAAGAGATTGTAGACAGAAAATATAGATGGCTATTTTGGAGAGTTTTGTTGCAACGGGGAATAAGAAATTGGACCATAGATGGGGGGAAGAGGGTCAAATATAGATTTTCTTTTGTTTTATTCTTTAAGATGGGAATAACATGCTTGTGTATTGTTTGGAATGATCTGCTAGAGAACAAGAAACTAATGATGTAAGAGAAAGAAATTGTTCTGAAACTTCAGAATACCAAAGACAAAAAGATCTTAAAAACAATAGGAGAGAAAAGACAGATCATATACAAAGGAACAATTAGGCTGAAGCAGACTTTTCAACAACAACAAAGGAAGTGGAATAATACCTTCAAAGAGCTAAGAAAAGATAACTGTCAACCAACAGCTGTTCACCAAGCAAAACTATCTTTCAACAATGAGAGTAATATAAAGATATTTTCAGATAAGTAAAAACTAGAGTTTACAAATAGACATGTACTAAAGAAACTCCTAAAGGATGTACTTGAGGAAGAAGAAAAATGATTCCACAAAAAGATGTGAAATGCAAAGGAATGGTGAGCAAAGAAAATGAATTGGTAAATGTGTAGGTAAAACTAAGCAAACTTTGTATGAAATATAATAATAATATCCTATTTTTGAGGTCTAAATGTTCTTAAGTAAAATACTGAGCAATAATCAGAGTGGGGTGATTATTGAGTTATCTAAGGTCTTTGTATTTTCTTGTCAAGATATTGACTTTAAGCTTGGTTATTAAGTACACATAGCAAATTTTCAAGGGTAATCCATTATAAAAATAGAGTGGATATCTCCAAACCAGTCGAGGAAAAAAATGGAATCTAAGTAAACAAACAAACAGAAACTGATCAATTTTTAAAAGACAAGAATTGGAAGAAAAGAAGTGTAGACACAAAGTGGAACAGGAAGAAGATAGAAACAAAGATAGATATATCAATCCATTAAATATAAATGTATTAAGCTTAACAATTAGAATATAGAGATTGTCTGGTCAGATTAAAATGTACACACAAAAATTGGAGCTGTATGTTATTTACAGAAGTTACACAATGCAAAAGGAAGTTGAAAGTTTGAAAGTGAAGGGATGCAGAAAAATATAATAGCAGTCGTTATCCAAAAGAAAGCCGCAGTAGCCATAATAATATCAGACAAAATAGATTTTAGAATAAAAAGCATTATTAGGCACAGAAAGGATTTAAGTTACTAAAAAGATATACCAATTCTAAATAAATATGCATCTAATAAAATAGCTTCAAAATTCATAGAACTACAATGATAAATAAATAAAACCAATAAATAATAAATCTGTATGAGATATAAATCTCCCTGAGGGGGAGATTTCAACACATCTTTCCACTAAAATAAGAGAATAATAAGCACAAAATTCAGAATAATTGTTCTTTGGCAGGGAGAGGCAGGAGATGTGATAAGATGAAGATCTTGTGTAGAATAAAAAACTTTATTTTGCTTAATCAAAGCAAAATTAAGATTATAAAATCTTAAGCTCGGTGATGCATTCTTTTGTGTTCATTTTATGTGTGCTTTAAAACCGACATCTGCATTACATATAATTTTGTATGTATCAAATATTCCGTAAAGAATTTTAAAAGGAATTTTTAAAAATACACTGGGAAAGGGGCTGGCCCCATGATGTAGTGGTTAAGTTTGGTGCACTCTGCTTCAGCGGCCTGGGTTCATGAGTTTGGGTCCTGGACGTGGACCTACACCACTTGTCAGCCATGCTGTGGAGGTGACCCCATATAAAGTGGAGGAAGACTGGCACAGATGTTAGCTCAGGGCTAATCTTCCTCAGAAAAAAATATATATATATATTGGGAAAGCAGTGCCTGGAAGAGGGAGATTTGTCTTATATCTCTTTGAGAAACAAAAATGCTTTCTAATCTAGTCTTGTCTCTCCCTAGGGGCCTCACTCTCTCACCTTGTGTCTAGAGGAAACCTGTTAGTTTACTGTTAGGGGGTTAAAAAGCTATTTACCTCATTATTGCTAGAACGTTTCCAATGGACCTTATCCAGACCCATTGGTCATTAAAATAAATAGAGCTCTTAATTCTATTTTTCACTCCCACTCTATGGAGACCATGTGAAAAGTCATTATACAGTGTGAAATACAGAGTCTTGGGGAAAATACAGTCAGTCCATGTTTGCCTTACCTGGGCACAATCTTTGATAAGAATATGCTTTTAGATAATTCCACCAAGACATGACTTCACCATCAAAAACATTTCCTTTACAACTTAAATAAGATTTTAAATTTGCTTTTAAAATAGTTCGTATATTCATGTGCTTCAAATTTCAAAGGGTATAAAGTTTATACAGTGAAAATTTTCCTTTTCGTTCTATTCCTTGCTCACCAAGTTTCCCCCTCCTGGAAGCAAAAAATATTATATTTCTATATATCCTTCCAGAGGTACTTTATATGTCTACAGGAAAATATATATAAAGCTTGTTCTTATTATTATATGAATTATAACATATTTTTATATCATTTTGTACTGTGCTTATTTCACTTAACAAAGTACCTTAGAGATCATTCGGTATCACTAGACTTTCTCCTTTTTATATGAGAATATAGTATTCCACTGTACAAATCTACCATAATTTATTTAACCAGTCCCTATTGATGGACATTAAGGTTGTTTCTAGCCAAAAGGACATTTAAAGCCAGATGTGCCGCAGTCATCCAGACAAATACTGAAAACATCTATATCAAATATAGTAGCACATTTAGACTATTAGAAGCACATAAAATATTTACTGTGTAAATATGAATCTTGCCTTTGTAGAAGTGACCATGGTGATCAATTTCATGTAGATATGTGTGATAAGCATATAGCTTATATTTCAGAAAATAACATTTTATGTTAGTCTGTTTTTCTTTCTTTTTCAAGGAATATGGCACTGTTACCAGGAATACAGCAAACTTCAGGAACAGCCAAATTCTCACTTAAGTATATACAACATCGGGATTCAGACTGATTTAAGCATGTACTTTCAACTGAAACAAACATGGTTCACATTTAGTGAGTGAATTTTAAAAACTGGTTTTGTTAAAATTATAATAACGAGAAAGCATCTCTCTGTCTAAAGGAAAAGTTGGGTTGGTGTAACTTGTTAAATATACTTATTGCTAAAGTCATTAAAGTAAATGTGTCTATAATCCTACTAGCTACAGTAAATGGAAAAGGCATTGAGGGGAATTTATTATATACTCTAAGAAAATATGACTTTACGGTGATCCCAAGCTATTTGCCTTCAATTTAAAATGGTTTGGATGTGTGTGTTTATAGCCATTAACCTGTTTTCCAAGAAAGGTGTTTTAAAAGGAAAAATGCTTAATTTTTCAAACTTGTTTAAAAAAAATAAGAAAGTTTTTTCATAACGAGACTTTAAAACCATTTATTATAGGAATTGGAATAAGAGGTAACTGAAAATAAGTTTAAAGTGTGTATTAAAATTATTGAATTAGTTAAGGGTAATATTAACAAAATTTTTAAAGCAAGATGATTTCAGAGATGGCTTTAATCCTATATTCCTAGAATGGTTTTATTATAATATTCCTTGCACTTCACAGAGACTCATATTCTTTAATCAGTTTTTTTTTTTTTTTTTTTTTTACTTTTTAAAATTATTTTATTGAAGTCATATTGGTTTTTTTAAATCTCTAATTACGCATTGTTTTAAAAAAGAATTCATCTTCATATTGTGGATGTTAGAGAGCCAGGCAAGACAAGTTTGAGGAAGCCTGGGAAGGAGCCCAGAGTGAGCCTCAGAGGGGGGCAACATCTCGGTGGGGCATCGTGATTCCAGCACTGGTCCCATCCCCATACATTTGAAAACTTGATTGTGACTCTTCACCCAAAAGACATCAGGTCATCAGGGACAGGCTCACATTATGTCACCAGTGTGCCATTTTATTTGTTTACACCATTAGAATACTCTCCCTGTGACCAGAATGCAGGCATATCCCAGCTAGGACACCACTTTCCCGGGATCAAGGCATATAGGGAACAAGATTACTAATGAGAAGCTTTTCTAGCAGCGGGCCTCGGATAGTCTTGAGAGGTGTTTTCTTTAGGCTCACGCCAAGCTCGATGACCTAACCCTGCTGCACAGAAACCCCCACCAGATTCCTTTTGTCTGCCAAATTCAGTTTTTCTCTTTTCCTTGGATAGTGCTAGATCAAAATGCCAAATCCTTGCTCTTTGGCTTCCCATTTCTAGCTCTCATACAGGCTAGTTGCTTTCACATAATACATTATTTTTTCAAATATGTTGCAGAAGAATTGTTCTATTTATAACCATTTCTTTTTACCCATCAAAATCAGGCATCTTGGGACTTGTATCCTCATCTCATCACTTTTCCTGAATTTGAGTGATTCCATATCTCTTCAGCAATCCACTTACTGTTATCTATAATTTCAAAGATACGAATCTCATCCATTACATTTTGAAACCTCCAATTTTACTGTCATATGAATCTTAGTTACAGGTTCTGCGGTCATCCCACTGCTGTCTCTTAAGGACCTTCAACACAAAAATCATTGAGGTGATCAGAATCTGCCATTGGAAAAGTTAAAAGATATACTTTGAGGAAAATACAGAGCTTGCTTTTATTTTCAAGTCTAGCAATACTAATCTTTCCTCAAATGAGCCTCAGCTTTCACAGCTCATTTATCAGACACTGATTATTTGCTCCATGTTTGGACAAAATTCTAGGCACCAGAGACAAAGGCATACATGTGAAATTATACTCATTGGCAGAAACACTAAAAATAAACAGAGTTATATGGACAAAAATTACACTTTTCATGAGTCTTGGATTGTGTTAGGAGGTGGTTCTATTCTCATTTCTGCTATTAATTATCCCAGTCTCCTCCTCTGTGAAGTTGGAGTTCTACCAGCTTCTCTACCGAGTTTCAAAAAATGTGTTTCTATTGTTCACTCTTATTCAAATAAAAAGAAGCAATATAAGATATAAATTCAAAAGACAGCTAAATTCCTCTAATATAAGCATTTTGAATATGTAATTTTGTAAAGGTAGAAATTTAATATGCAATGTTCCTCAATGCAATTTCAGAACATAAAGTTCTGATATATCTCATTCTTAGGTTTGTCCAAAGAAGATGATGATTTTAGCTTAATATGGCTATATTCCACAGTTTTGGACTCAGTTTGGTGTTTTAAGAGAATCAAATGTGCATTAAAACATAAATACATAGTTTAATTAAAAGAAGATGTGGTGGAGAGATGATACATTACTAAGATCTTCCCACATATCTGGGTTAACTGATTTCTACTTACTTGGAGATGTTAACTGATATGTAATGTAACATGAGAATCTTAGTGGTATAATAATAGAATGAAATAATACTTCACAGAGCAGAATAACTATCTAGCAAGGATATTATAGAACAAATTCTTTCACAGGTGGATATTTAATTTAACTTTTCATTAAGTTTTTTTTATAATTTCAGATTCTATTATTAGCAATGCTATATTTCCCTAATTTTAAGATCCACACCTTTTCACTTTTTTAACATCTCTGAAGTCAGGATGTATCTTATAATCAATAAATAGACATTTAATGAAGGATATCTTTACTGTTCCTAAAAAGATATTACTAAATTAAAGATATGTCTTAGAATTGAGGAAATACAGTAATTAGGACTATTTGGCTTCAAGTAAAAAGAAAGTAATTCAAGCTAGCTGAAAAGAAAAGAAAATTGGAACAAGCTGGGGACAAGGCAGGGGTATTTTTTATAACAATATACAAGTGTCTCAGCAAACGCTGAAAAGCAGAGAAGCAGCTGGATTTACAAGTGTACTTGAATCCAGGGAACAGAAAGCCAAAAAGCACCCAAGGTTTCATCTCCTTGCTCTCTTTCTTTATACACATATACTTCATTCTTTCTTTGTAGATTCACTTACTTCATGTAAAGATGGTTTTGACATAGTTCATTAAGTTTGTGTAACTCTTAGTTCAAGAGGTTTATAAACTTCAACTCAAAACTGAACTAAATTCCCTTAGTTCTACTTCTGAGACTTTTCTGAGACAGCTTGGGTTGGGTTTACATCATGATTCCGTCAATGGTAGCCATGAAGGGTAGAGTCACAAAATAAAAATATGGCAGCCAAGGGCCTGCCCTGTCAATCACCAAGAGGAATCAATTAAGAGGCATTGCATGCAGGCTGGGCAGCTCAAAAAGTTTCTTCTGTAATGATTCTCTTACTCAATGAAGTAAAAATGAAAACATCTAAACTAGAGCTGCCTAAAGCAGCCCTTCCTTCTATGCCTATTTTCCCATTTCTACAAATGGTGTGAAATGTTTCCGTAGATAAGACGAAGCCTGTCCAGCTGAGTTCTCCAAACTCTAGCTAAAGGTTTTAATCTAGATTTCTTAGCATTTCTTGGAGATTTTGAAAGCGAATTTCTAAGAGTGGCATTTTTTGAGAGGTAACACTGCTTAAATTATGAAGTGTCAGAACTGGCAGAAATAATCGTGAAGCTCAGTCCTAACTTTTGCAGAGAAAGTTTGTTTTCTGGATTGATTTGTACCACACACTAATTTTTTTTTTCCCTGTTTAAAGTGATAATACTCAGCATCCTTGAAGTGACTGTCATCGTTATGCTGATCTTCCTCAGGGAACGAATCCGCGTCTCCATTGCCCTGCTGAAGGAAGGGAGCAAGTAAGGCCCTGGTAGAGAAACTCACATAACATGTATCAGTAGTCAAATCAGACACTGCCTATTGCATAGATGCCCAGACTATGTTCCCTTTAAGAAGACTTGTTAAAGAAATCTGCTTTCCATTTAAGAAGACTTTTCAAGTTCAGATTCTGCCACTTATTAGAAAGGTCGTGCTAACCAGTCCTTCAATATCCCCAAATCTTAATTATCATAGAGTAAAATAAGGCCAAAACCTGTCTAGTCTATGTATTAGCATTTTTTTTAACACCAAATGTATGTTAGGAGAATAAGGTATGTTAAAGTAAGCTATAAAGTGCTATATAAAAGTTAGTTCTATTACATGTTGTGGTATTCCCATACTGAGTCATATGTTAATATTAATGGTTGAGATCATTTGCAGAACTTTAAATCACCATAATTCTATAAATTCAATTATATGCTATTACTTTTTCTGTATGAGTGACAAAATTTGCTAATAGAGAGAATAATTGATCCTGGCAGCACCAGACTACACATTTTGTATCTACAGCTCTTAATTCAGGAACACTTTATACCCAGAGCCATTTTTATTAAAAAGCGCTACAAAATAAACACTAAATTTTTCATAAAATTCATGCTGGCAGGTAATAACAGCTACAGTTTCCAAACTATTCCCAAAGGTCACTTGAGGGCAATGCTTGAAACTTTTGAATAATGGATGGAAGAAACAAGGAAAGCATTACAACAAAACCAACAGACCATGCTCTAAATTTAGAATGATGGAAACTGACTTGTTAATGACTAAGGACCAAATTATTTTAAATAGTGCTTAAGGATTATTTTAATAAAATTGTCGTCTATAATAATAATAATACTGCCACCCGAAGCCAGTGGTTTAAGTAGTTAACAAGCAGTTTGTTAAATTAAACTCTCTTTCCTTCCCACAATAACTGAAGCCCTATCATTAGCCACTGAAAACTACTGATTTGCTGGGTTTATTTCTTAAATAATAAGATATTGTGCAATTCACTGTAACTTGCCACTGTTAAGCCTTTAAATGTGTGTATGCGTAAGTGTGTGTGTGTGTGTGTGTGTGTGTGTGTGTGTTAAAGGGCCAATACAACTGCGTCAGGTTGATAGTTTGCTCAAAGGTAAATAAGAGCTGGAATAAATAGGTGTGAGAATTACAGGTTAGACATAGGGATGCTCAATAATTCACTGAGCAGCAGTGGCTGGAGAAAGGAGAGAAGAGCATGGTTCAAATGGTGAAATGAAGAAGTAACAAACGCAAAAGGAATCCAAGATATGTCAAGTGCAGTAGGAGTGGAAATAGTTCCATCATAGTTCTCAGTGGCTAAATCAAACAGTGTTGGGTTTAATGCAGTGTTACATGCTGAAAAGATGATTCAAAAGTAGTTAGAAACAGGGCAACTCAGATAGTGAACAGAAACCATGTCTTATGAGGAAACAACAAAGAAATGATTATCCCGGAGAATAAAAGAATAAGGAGTTACTTGAAGGATTGTTTTGTGGGAAAGTCATTTCTTTTCTTTAGTCATTCATTTTTCTTTAGTCAATTCTTCTCCAGAAAGTAGTGATATGAGTTATGGGCAGGCAGATAAAGAAGAACTTTCTAATACTTTGGTCATTAAGAAAATAGAATAAACTGTGTTGTATAAAAGTAAGTTTCCCTTACTCCATGTGGTCACCAGAAGCTAGGGAACACATTTTGAAGATAGGACAGAAGGGATTCCTGAATTAGGGAGGGATTCTCACGTTTGATCAGATGATCTTCAAGATCCTCTCCATTTTAAAAGTCTAAGAATCTACACAAAAGGAAGAAATATTGTGATTGTAATGTATCAAATCTTTATGAGTTAGGCAGAAATAATCAAAGAAGAGAAAGTTAGGGGAACTTTTGGCAGGAATCAAACATGGGCATTGAAAGAATGCGTCTAACTTACTAAAAATAAATAAGTAAATAAAAGTTTAAAACCAACTAAGAACATGCCAGAATGGTCAGTAAAAAAGAGTCCATGGTTATTACCACTGTTCTTAGAAGTAATTCAGTCTGAGGCTTATTTCTAGTTTTAACAGACAAAAAATTAATTGAGAAATTATAGCTCTAGATCATTTTGAATTTCAACTTTTTTTTTTTTTCAGAGCCATTGGATACATCCCCAGTACATTAATCTATCCAGTTTTAACCTTCATTCTCCTCTCAATCTGCATTTCCTACTGGGCGGTGACAGCAGTGTATCCTTGGTGATTGACCTTGGGTCCACACGACTATTCAGGAACCAGGAGTTTGTGTCCATTGTTTTCCATCCTGGGAAGACCCGGAACATCCTAAAGAAATAACTGATTTTTTTTTTTGCCAAGCTCTAAAAATGTTTCAGTCTACTGATTGAATTTCCCCTCAAAGAGGTCATATGGTAGATTTTTATTTTGTCTCCACGTGTGGTACTTTTCCTTGGCGATAACCTAAGAAAACTCCCATATATTTTACTGTTTTAAGGGGCCACTCAGTGCAGCTGACCCATGTTATATTATTCTGGGTCTGAAAAATGGATGAATTATTAAAATATTAGACGTTTATTAAGGTTAATCTCTCAGTGGACTTTTGAGTTATTTGTTGTCCATTTACTTCCAACCTACCAGGAAATAATTGAGCCTTAACAGAGTCCACTCAGTTACTTGGCTACATCAGGGGTACCCACATACAAAGTCATAGCCCCAGAGGGGCAATGCGAACATGAAAATAAAACCTGTAACCCAGAGGTAAGTAAAAGAAACTCTGTCTTGTACTTACTTCAGTACAGAACTCGACTACATTTCCAGTGGTAGGGATCATCCTGAAATAGAGAGCCTGTGCATTGATGGGGATCACTGTCAAGAAGGGGAGGGTGGGTCAGGTGTTAGCAGGAGAGCACTGAAAATCGTGGGTACAATAGAGAGAAGGCACTATTATTTCCTGAGCTCGTTTGTCCTGTCATAAACCCAAGAAGCAGGCATAGTCAACAGCAACACTAATAAATGTGAAATTATAGTGGGTGTAGAGTCATGGACATATGATGAAAAGTGAGATACTTTCCAGAGCTCATTAAAGAATTATATAAAGTGATGTGATAGAAAATAGGAATAACAGCAGAAGCTAAGGGGGAAAAAGCAAAACATGCGATTGGGGGCTACACAAGAGAAGGCAGGGAAGGTGTTATCTTGGAATGGCATTTAATATTCTATTATCCATGTTATTGTTTCTGAGTGCAGATTTTTAATACAACTCAAATTGCCAAAGCTTGCCCTGGATCTCACTGTAACTTTGCTTCCTATGGTGGAAAGAGCCTGTACCATCGATACATCACTACTTTCCAGATAGTCAATCTATTTATCTTTCTCTGGCTTATAAACTTTATCGTTGCATTGGGTCAGTGTACCCTTGCTGGTGCCTTTGCTTCGTATTACTGGGCCTTGAGAAAACCAGACGACATCCCACCGTATCCACTTTTTACTGCATTTGGAAGAGCCATACGGTAAGTTCCACAGTGAACCCTACATCTATCTTCTCAGTTATGTTTAGTGTGCCTATAATTCAGTCTTGTGCTTATAATTCAAATGGCAAGGTACAAACGAGGTCAAAGGTATGATTCAACATCCATGGATGTGCATTGGCTTTGTCTGGTTTTATAGCCCCAGTTTTACAATCCCTACCCAGGCCAATATCCTTCTAAACGCCTTATGTTACCGGAGAGGAGACAAGGTAGAGGAGGGCACCAATTTAAAGATTAAGGGTTAACTTGGCTCTGCCTCTCCATTGCTTAGCTCAGACATCCTATTTTATGATGACAGGCTATTGGTATCATTTTTGCAGATGAAGGGCAAACCAGATGTATATGGTTGAAAATCCTCCGTGGAGACCTTTATCCATCTGAACAGAGAGCATAAGAAGCTCTGTCCTAGCGGCCCTTCTGTAGATCCCTTTTACCTCTAAAAATTAACTAACATCCTGTTAGTTAATAGTAAAGATATTTCAACTTTTATTCTCACTGTATCTTTTCCCAGGTATCACACAGGATCCCTAGCATTTGGATCTTTAATTCTTGCATCAATTCAAATGTTTAGATTGGTCCTGCAATATTTGGACAACCGTCTTAAAGGTAAGATTCCAGAATTCATCTTTTCTCAGACTTCCTGACTCTGTGAAAAGAATAGATGGGGGCAGAGGGTTGGGGGAAACATGGTGACTGTAGCTTGGATTAGAGTAGTAAGGAGAGAGGTGGTCAGACTGGGGATACTTTTAGAAGGAAAAGGCAACAGGACTTGCTGAGGGATTGGATATGGAGTCTGGGGAGCGAGAGGCACAGTGGTGAAGAAAAGAGAAAAAGTGTGTGATGCTATTTACTAAGGTGTGGAAACCAAGAGAAGCAAATTTCAAAGAAGAGATTAAAAATTGTGGTTTTGAAGTGTTAATGTTGAGAAGCGTAGTGGAGATGTCAGGCAGTTCCAAGTCTAGAGCTCCGGACAGGTCAGGCTTAAAATATAAATGCGAGTGTCATCACATAAATCTTCATACATGACACATATACTTTACAAACACACAAACTTTGCTTAGAATGCACTTTAAATGATTTTATTACTAATTGCCAAAACAATCTTGAAACAGAACAAACTTGGAACATTCACATTTCCTGATTTCAAAACTTGATACAAAGCTACAGTAGTGAAAACAGTGTAGCACTGATCTAAAGACAGACATATAGACCTGGAATAGAATAGAGAGCCCCAAATAAACCCTCACATATAAGACCATTCAATGGGGAAAGGACAGTGTTTTCAACTAATTTTATTAGGAAAACTACATGCAAAAGAATGAAGTTGGACCCTTACCTTACACCATATCAAAAATTAATTCAAAATGGATCAAAGACCTAACCATAAAAGATAAAACTCTTAGAAGAAAGGATAGAAGGAAATCTTCATGACGTTGGATTTGATCATTTCTTAGATATGACACCAAAAGCACAAGCAATAAAGAAAAAAACAGACAAATTAGACTTCAAAAAATAAAAAAATGTTTGTGCACCAAAGGACACTATCAAGAGAGTGAAAAGACAATCCACAGAATGGGAGAAAATATTTGCAAATCATATACGAGATAAGTGACTAATATTCAGAATATGTAAAGAACTTCTACAACTCAACAACAAACAACCCAATTTAACATGGGCAAGGGATTTTTTTAATTATGTAAAATTTTTTTTCAGCTTTATTGGGGTTTAATTGACAAAATTGTAATATATTTAATGTATACAACATGCTTTATATACACATACATTGTGAAAAGGATTCCCACATTCAAGGTAGTAAACATATCCATATTTTATTTATTTACCTTATTTACCTTTTTTTTTCTTTTTCCTTTTTTGGTGTGAATGCTTGAATTCTACTCTCTTTGCAAATTTCAATTATACAATACAGTTACCACCATTCTACACTCTGTTTCTATGAATTCAACTTTTTTTTTAATTCCACATAAAAATGATACCATGCCTGTTTGTCTTTCTCTGTCTGGCTTATTTCACTTAGCATAACGCCCTCCGGGTTTATCCGTGTTGTTCAAAAAGCAGGATTTCCTTCTTTTTTAAGGCTGAATAATATTCCATTGTGTATCTATACCACATTTTCTTTATCTATTGATCCATTGATGGACACTTAGGTTGTTTCCATACATTGAATATTGTAAATAATGCTGCAATGAACATGAGAGTACAGATATCTCTTTGAGATAGTGATTTTGTTTTCTTCCAACATATACACAGAAGTGGAATTACTGGATCATATAGCAGTTCTATTTTTAATTTCTTGAGGAGTCTCCACACTGTTTCTCTAGTGGATGCACCAGTTTACATTCCCACCAACAGTACAAGAGTTGCCTCCTCACCACTTGCTGTCTCTAGTTTTTTCATAATAGACATCCTAACAAGTGTGAGGTGATATCTCCTGGTTTTGATTTGCGTTTCTCTAATGATTAGTAATGTTGAGCACCTTTTCATGTACTTGTTGGCTGTTTGTATGTCTTCTTTGGAAAAAATGTCTCTTCAGGTTCTTTGCCCACTTTTTTATTGGATTATTTCTTTTTTTGGTATTGAGTTCTATGAGTTCCTTATATATTTTGGATATTAACCTCTTATCACATATGTGGTTTGTGAATATTTTCTCCCATTTCATATGTTGCTTTTTCATTTTATTGATGATTTACCTTTCTGTGCAGAAGCTTTTTAGTTTGATGTAGTCCCATTTGTTAGCTTTTTTGCTTTTGTTGTCTTTGCTTTTAGTGTCAAATCCAAAAAATCATTGCCAAGACCAATGTCGAGAGGCTTATCCTTATGTTTTCTTCTAGGAGTTTTATGGTTTCAGGTCTTACATTCAAGTCTTTAATCCATTTTGAGTTGATTATTGTGTAGTTGTAAGATAAAGGTCCAATTTCATTCATTTGTATATGGATATCCAGTTTTCCCAGCATGATTTATTGAAAAGATTTTCCTTTCCCCATTGTATATTCTTTGCTCCTTTGTCAAAAATTAATTGACCATATATGCATGGGTTTATTTCTGACTTTCTATTCTGTTCCATTCATCTATGTGTCTATTTTTATGCCAATACCATACTTTTTGACTACTATGGTTGTAATACAGTTTGAAATCAGGAAGTGTTAATGCCTTCAGTTTTGTTTTTTGTTGATTGCTTTGGCTATTTGGAGTCTTTTGTGATTCCATACAAACTTTAGGATTGTTTGTTCCATTATTGTGAAAAATACCATTGGAATTTTGATAGGGATTGCATTGAATTCATAGATTCTTTGGGTACTATGAATATTTTAACAATATTAATTCTTCCAATCCATGAACATGAAATATTTTCCATTTATTTTTGTCTTCTTCAATTTCTTTTTTCAATGGTTTACAGTTTTCAGTGCACAGGGTATTTTATTGTTTTTGATGCTGTTGTAAATGAGATTGTTTTCTTAATTTCTCTTTCTGATAGTTGTTAATGTATAGAAATGCAAATGGTTTTTGTATATTGATTTTATATCCTGCAACTTCACTAAATTCATTTATTAGTTCTAATAGATTTTTGGTGAAGACTTTAGGGTTTTCGTTTTATTTTTTGTTTTTTTTTTGTTTTTTTTTTTTGCTGAGGAAGATTCGCCCTGAGCTGACATCGGTGCCAGTCTTCCTCTATTTCGTTTGTGGGACTCCGCCACAGCATGGCCACCAATAAGTGGCGTAGGTCCACACCCAGGAACCGAACCTGGGCCACCGAAGCAGAGCAGGCCAAACTTAACCAAAAGGCCCCAGGGCTGGCCCCAGGGTTTTCTATATATAATATCATGTGATCTGCAAACAGAGACAGTTTTACTTCTTCCTTTCTGATTTGAATGCCTTTTATTTCTTTTTCTTGACTAATTGCTCTGACTAGGTCTTCCAGTACCATGTTGAATAAAAGTGGTGAGAGTGGGCATCCTTGTCTTGTTCTCGATGTGAGAAGAAAGGCTTTCAGTTTTTCACCATTGAGTATGATGTTAGCTGTGGGCTTGTCGTTTATGGCCTTTATTTTGTTGAGGCCTTCTCAACCACTTTGTTGAGAATTTTTATTACGAAAGAAGGTTGAATTTTGTCAAGTGATTTTTCTGTGTCTATTGAGATGATCATATGATTTTTATCCTCTATTATGTTAATGTGTTACATCACATTTATTGATTTGCATATGTTGAAACATCCTTGCATCTCTGGGATAAATCCCATTTGATCTTGATGTATGATCCTTTTAATGCACTGTTGAATTCATTTTGCTGATATTTTGTTGAGGATTTTTGCATGTATGTTCATCAGGGATATTGGCCTGTAATTTTCTTTTTTGTAGTGTCCTTGTCTGGCTTTGGTATCAGTGTAATGCCAACCTTATAAAATGAGTTTGGAAATGCTCCCATCACTTCTCTTTTTTGGAAGAGTTTGAGAAGGATTTGTGGTTATCATAAGGCTTACATAAAACATCTTATAGCTATAACAATCTTTTTTAAGCTGATAATAACTTTAAGTGCATACAAAAGCTCTACATTTTTACACTCCCTCACATTTATGCTACAATGTTTTTGATGTTATAATTTACATCTTTTTATATTGTGTAAACATTACCAAGTTATTGTAGTATAGTTAATACTTCGTCTTTTAATCTTTATACTAGAGTTATAAGTGATTTTCCCACCACCATTACAATTTTAGAGTATTCTGAATTTAACTATATATTTACCTTTACCAGCAAGTTTTATACTTTCATATATTTTCATTTTACTAATTAGTATCCTTTTGTTTCAGCTTAGAGAACTCCCTTTAACATTTCTTGTAAGGCTGGTTTAATGGTGATGAACTTTTTCAGCTGTTGTTCGTTGGGAAAACTCTTTATCTCTCCTTCAATTCTGAAGGACAACTTTGCTGTGTAGTGTTTCTTGGCTGGGAGTTTTTTTCTTTCAGCACTTTGAATATATCATTCTATTCCATTCTGGCCCAAAAAGTTTCTGCTGAAAAAAACTTGCTGATATTCTTATGGGGTTTCCCTGATATGTAGCAAGTTGCTTTTCTCTTGCTGCCTTTAACTGCCTTTTAACTTTTGAAAGTTTAATTTTATGAGTCTCAGTGTTGGTCTCTTTAGATTTATCTTTTATAGTGTTCTTTAAGCTTTCTGGATCTGGATGTCTGTTTGTTTCCCCAGGTTAGGGAAGTATTCAGCCATTATTGCTTTGAATAAGCTTTCTGCCCCTTTCTCTCTCTTTTCTCCTTCTGGGACCTCTATAATGCATATATTTGTCTGCTTGATAGTGTCCCATAAGTCTCTTAAGCTATCTTCACTTTTTTCATTCTTTTTGTTCCTCTAATTGGATGAATTCCAGTGTCCTTTCTTTGAGTTCATTGATCCTTTCTTCTGCTTGATCCAGTCTGTTGTTGAACTGCTCTATTGAATTTTTCACTCCATATTCTTCAGTTCTATGAATTCGCTTTAATACTTTTATGTATTTTCTATCTCTTTGTTGAAATTCTCACTTTGTTCATGCATTGCTCCCCTGATCTCAGTGAGCATCTTTATGACCATTATTTTGAACTCTCTATCAGGTAAATCACTTACCTCCATTTCATTAAGATCAGTATCTGGAGATTTATCTTGTTCTTTTGTTTGGAACCTATTCCCTTGTTTCTTCAATTTTTCTTGACTCTCTATGTTGGTTTCTGCACATTAAATGAAACAGCCACCTCTCCCAGTCTTAACAGACTGGTCTCATGTAGGAGATAAACTTTGTCAATCAGCCTAGCCCAAGCTTCTGGTTCTTTCAAACCTATATGATCATCCTAGCCACCATATTTCTTCTTAGTGGCTCCTGATAGTTGAAGGTGTGCCAAGACCGGTCAGTGTCCCAAAAGGGAGAATCGTAGTCAGAACCTAGATACAGGCTGATTAGAAGCCAGACCCTCAGGTGGCAGCTGGGAAAATATGTAGTTAAGTCCCTTTCAGGGGGAAACTGGGAGGTGAGTGTTTTTGCCTGCACTCTCCACACTGAGCCAGGGTATATAGCCACATTTTGGGGAGAGGGGTGCTTCTGCACCATTTAAAAACTGCTTCTTTGTTTGATGTAATCCTGTGGGACTTGTCAATGCAAGCCTCATTGGCTATCAAAGCCAAAAGAAGTGAGGATCATCCCTCAGGCAGCAGCCACAAAAGCTGGGGCACCAGGCATGTGTACAAGTTCCCTCCAAAGAGATGTTGGTGACCTGGTTTTATAACTGCAATCAGCTTGAAGGAGAGGATGGTAGAAGTGCCCAGGGTTCCCCAGGCCTCCATAGAGGATCACAGCTAGCCCCTAGACACATGCAAATTAAAGCCAGACCCTCCTTCGGGCAGCGGGTGGCAAAGTATGCAGTCAGTCACCTTCCAGGGAAAGCCTAGAAGATGGGCGTTTTTGCCTGCTCTCTCTGAGCTAAGCCCTGGGGGATAGCCGCAGCGAGTGCTAGCATTTGTGCTTATTAAGAACTGCTTCTTTGTTTTCTATAGTCCTGTGGGACTTGTGGATGCAAGCCTCATTGGCTTTCAGAGCTAGGTGTTTTAGGGGCCCATCCCTTGTGGGAGCCTTAAAAGTTTGAATCCTAGATATGCTGTCCCAACCCTTCACTCCTCAGGGAGAAGCTGAGAGTTGAGGGTGTCATCCCAATTGTATGGCGCTGTGTCAGGGGTGGGGTTTATGGTGAGTGTGTCTCAGCTTTTCTTACCTGTTTCAATGTGGGTGTTTTCTCAGTTACCTGATATGTAGGAGTCACTCAACTGGCTTCTGGATTTCTCTCAGAGGAAATTGCTCCATGTGTAGCTGTACATTCAGTGCGTCTGTGGGAGGATGGAAATTCTGGAGCCTTCTATGTCACCATCTTGGTCCTTCCCACAAAGAATTTGCATATACTTTGCTCCAAAGAAGATATACAAATGGTGAATAAGCACATGAAAAGATGTTCAATATTAGTCATTAGGGAAATGCAAATCAAAACCATAATGAGGTACTACTTCACACCCGTAGAATGGCTACTATCAAGAAAACAGAAGATAACAAGTGTTTGTAGGATTAGGATAAATTGGAACCCTTGTACATTGCTGGCGGGAATGTAAAATAGTAAAGCCACCGTGGAAAACAGTATGGCGATTCCCCAAAAAGTTAAAAATAGGATTGCCATATTATCCAGCAATTCCACTTCTAGATATATACTTAAAAGAATTGAAAGTAGAGACTCAGACAGATACTTGCACACCGATGTTCATAGCAGGATTATTCACAATAGCCAAAAGGTCGAAACAATCCAAATTTTCAGTAACAAAAGGATAAACAAAATGTGATATATACATGCAATGGAATGTTATTCAGATCTAAAAAGGAATGAAATGATGAACCTTGAAAACTTTATGCTAAGTGAAATAAGCAAGACACAAAAGGACAAATATTGTATGATTCCACTTATATGAGTTATCTAGAAGAGGCAAATTCATACAGACACAAGTATAGTAGAGGTTACCGGAGGCTGGGAGAAGGGGAGAATGAGGAGTTATTGTTTAGTGGGTACAGAGTTTCTATTTGAGATGATGAAAAGTTCTGGAAATGGATAGTGATGATGGTTGCACAACATTGTGAATGTATTTAATGCTACTGAATTGTACACTTAAAAATGGTTACAATGGTAAATTTTATGTACATTTTACTGAGATTTTAAAAATTTACAAGGCCATTTAAAAATTTTTATTATTTTTTTGATTCATAGAGTTTAGTTGCAAATCATTAATAGATTTAAATATCTCCTTCTCATAGAGGCTCAGAACAACTTTTCTAAATTCCTACAATGCTGCCTAAAATGCTGTTTCTGGTGTTTGGAAAATGTGGTAAAGTTTTTGAACAGAAATGCCTATGTTATGGTAAGTAGATTATTTTTTATTTACTAAACTTCTCCTTTGCAAACCCAAATCCCATGTCTACATTTCCATCTCTAAAGTACTTTTACATCAGGCAGTTGAATTTATCACCATGTTGATAAAAGGATTTGTGAGTCCAATGCATGATTCAGGGCTCTGCTTTCCTAGTTGAGATTGTATCTTAACTGTACTTCATTATTACCTTCAGAATCTTTTTGGAGAGGGAAAATATTATTTACCTTAGAAGTTTAAAAATGTGCTAGGTTGAATAAGATTTTGTGTGTCTTTGACATAGTTTAGTGGGAGGAATGCTTACTTAGTCTATGTTTTACTCTGAGAAGAAAATATTTTTCTAATTCTAGGATTTATGTAAGGGTCTATTCCTTTTTATGAATCTTTTGTTGATATGTGTGGGCATTGACAATGCCTAACTGAATTTATTACTTATTTCTTATGGGAATATGGAGACTTCTAAAAAGATTTTTCAAAATAGGGGATCCAGAATTATAATTCTTCTAAAATTTAGTCACTACAACCTACACTTGCTTATTATCACTGGCACACAGGGTCTGCAGGGGTGATTCAAATAGTCATAGAGATTCAAATAGTCATTTTTTACCTTCAGTGAGAATATTGTATTGAGCCTTTTAATCAGTAAATCAAGTGTATTGAAAGGCATTGGATTTCCAGAGAGTAATTTTTAATGTGAACGCCACAACATTTAACCCATTCAGCAGCAAACCCTAGCTGAAATGCTTCAAAGACAGAAGCCATGTCCTGGGTTTTGAGAAAAAGACCTACCTCTGTTTGAAGTTGTCTAATCCTCCTGGAGTTTGAGGGCATATAGCACCTGAAGCACACGTTGTTGTCAGCGACCCTGAGAGTTGTGCAGAGTTGAGGACACACAGTTCCCAGGCCTCCCACCAACCCAGACGTTGGAAAGAGGAATGACAGTAGCTGTATGGGTGACAGAGAATTAATTCATTTTCCTGTCATTGAGTTGTCTATTGGTCTTGTTAGGGTATGTTACCAACTCCAGAATAATATCAACTCTCTTCCTCAGATTGCAATATATGGCAAAAACTTCTGCAAGTCAGCGAGAGATGCTTTCAATCTGCTGATGAGAAATGTTTTAAAGTAAGTAATCAGGTTGAACATTGCAATAGATGATTTGGTGAACCCTGAGCATCACATACTTCACATATTGTTATTTAAAGTGTGGGTGGTCTTATTAGACATGAATATTATCTTTTAATTTGATACTTATTTTTATATCTTAGAATTGTCATTTTCGTCATCCACCTATGTCTTTACTCCCACTGGCATTGACTCATTTTTATTACCCACTCTGCTCAAGAAATTCCCCACATGAACATTGCCATCGTGTCTCTGACTATTCCCCCCTCCCAAAATTGACAGAGTGAAGAAATCAGAGAACAAATGCAGCATCCTCAGGATTCAGGGTGTCTATAGGCCTGGAATTAGTAGAGAAAGAGGCTGACACCATCAATAGCACTTGACAGCTCTACAATGCCATCTTCTGTTTACTTCTTTAAAATTAAGTCAGAACTCCATCCCTGGGTTCTACCTTCATTTCTTGCATTTAACAATGCCAAATAAAATTTCAGCGAAGACACATCAAAATGAACTCATGGATTACTTACTCTCATAAATTGCAAGTAACAAATGTAATTTAAACACAAAATTATGCTTTCTTTTTTCTGATTCTCAGAGTTGCAGTTATGGATAGAGTTACAGAGTTTGTCCTAATCCTGGGGAAAATCCTAGTTTCTGGAAGTATAGGTAAGTAATAGCAATACAAATAATAAAAATTTTAAAAGGTGCTTGGAAAATCTCCTTTACTACAAAAAGCTGTATTCCTTTGCAAATGCATAATATACATGTTCTGCCTTTTCTATGTAGGTATCTTGGCCTTCTTACTCTTCACGCAAAGAATCCCAATGATTCTAGAAGGACCAACATCTTTAAATTACTACTGGGTACCTTTGCTGGTAAGAGCTGGTGTCAGTCAGTTTGGGCTGCAATAACAAAAATACCAATGACTGGGTGGCTTAAAAAATATGAATTTATTCTTCACAATTCTGAAGGCTGAGAAGTCCAAAGTCACTGGGCCCACAGATTTGGTTCCTGTTGAGGGCTCTCTTCCTGGTTTACCCAGGGTCAGCTTCTTGCTATATTCTAACATGGTGGAGAGAGACATCATCTCTCCTGTCTCCTTTTATAAGGGCACTAATCCCCTTCATGGGTGCTCCACCCTCATAACCTAATTACTTCTCAAAGATCCCACCTCCAAATACCATTACACTGAGGATTAGGTTGCAACATATGAATTTTGAGGGGGGACAGTTCATTCCATAGCAGCTGGGTAATATTGACTCTGATTTATCAGAGATAGCAAAATAAAAAACAAAAAGGAATAGGAGAAATAATAATAGCTAACATTATTGGTCTTGCTTTGCGCCAAGCCGCATTCTGCTTTAGACACTGGTTCCCTTAAAAACAACCTCTGAGACAGAGGATTGCACCAGAAGGTTTATTAGGAAATGCTCTCCTGAGATACACTTGTAAGGAAGAGAGAAAGGCAGGCCTGAGCAAAGGAAGAAGCTGACCCATGCTGCAGTTATAGCTGACCTCAGGTGTAATTACAGGAAGTTCTGACAAAGGGAGGAGGAGGCTATTGTATGCTATTGTATGCTTATCTGCTGTTGGCCAGAGATTGACCCCTGGATGGAGGTTTAACCTTGGATGAGGCAGTTCCCTGCAAGGAAGGCAATTCATAGTGAGGGAATCAGCTGAGTCCTCAGCAGCGTTCATTCCCAAGCCAGGGGCATAGATGTGGCAGCTGGAGAGGACCTGGGTGGAGCCCTGCAGTATCTATTACAATGTGTTAACTCATTCAATCCATATGTCACAAATACTGTTATTATTCACATTCTCCCCTTCCGCACCGACCGTTTCACATAGGAGGCAAAGAGAGGTTAAGTCACTTGTTGAGTGAGTGCCTGAGTGGTGATTTGAACCTAGACAGTGTGCTCTGAACGCCTATGCTTTACCACCTCGGTGTACAGGATCCTAAATCTGGGATATTTTTGGTAGGCATTGGGGATAGTGATAAGAAAATTGGCAGGTAATCTAGTACATTTTGTTTAAAGCCCAGTACAAAGCACTCAAAAACATTATCACTGAATTTTTTTGGTCTCTATGTTGAAATCTTTTCCGATAGAGTACTTCAAAACTTTCTCATCATGATGTTCATTTAAAGCTGCATTATTGTTCTTCTGGATGAGTTAATGACATCTTCATTCTCTTCTTTACTCATTTACAGACAGTCATTATTGGATCTTACCTAATTGCACATGGGTTCTTCAGCGTCTATTCAATGTGTATTGATACAATTTTCATCTGCTTCTGTAAGTTTTCAGTATATGTGTTTTCCCCCTTCAGTGGATAACCGAAAGATGAGAAGGTTAAGACCCATGTCCTTGGCTGACTTGTGGATTTGCTATGACCTGGCTGCAACCCCAAAAGTGTGTTTATTTGGAAAGACACATTGTTTACTAGATGCTTTTTAGCCCTTGACAGCTGAGAGAATGGAGTTTGCAAAGCGTAGGAGAGTCAGCTACTGAAATGAACCTCAAGCTTCAGAGCATGGTGATAGCATGAAATTATTTTTTCATTTCTTAATGTTTTCAAATTTATAATAATGATTCGTTTCTGTTGTGCTTTATTAACAGAACTGAGGACATAACTGGGCTTTGGGAACTCTTTGAGGAGAGCCTTTATAGGTTCTGATAAAGCCAAGCTGGCAATGGTTTCAAAGACACATAGGGCAATTTCACACTAGGTGACACAATGACAAATAGACAGGATTCATAGAGGAGCATGTCTAGGAAATGGCTAGATCAATTCTGATGCTTAGAGTTAAAATACTTCTTTAGAGCTTTCATCACTGACTTATTCACTGTGTCTGCACGTGGCATGTGCAACACACGTACACAGAAGAGTATGTTTTCTATTAGGGCCTCATCCTCAAAGCCCTGGAGAACCCATTGCCCATAAGGAGCTTGATCTGGGCCTCTCCTTCAACCTAGGGAACGTAGGGTCTGCAGGTGGAAGAACAGAAATTGTTAGCCCTCCAGCTATACCCTCTGAGAGGTTATTTCTCTGGCACATCACTCTTAAGAGAAGCAGAGAAAACATTCTATGACAGGGCATTACTGAGTGATCCACCTGTACAAAATTTAGGTTTTTTTCAGCATAACCCATAGCACCAACTTCAAGCTGGGGTCAAGAGAGACGATAATAACTATAGTGAGATATATTCAAGGAAAAACCTCTTAGAAAATGGTTTGACCTTGTTTTTTTTTTTCTTTCTGAACATTTTAAAAATCCATTTTCAATAACTGGACAAAGAAATCAGGAGAACTTTGTGTACTAGTTAGCTCTTCCTCTGGCCATAAATAGAACCAGAATGTTTAGTCTTTTCCTAGTGCCTCAGTGGTTTGTTAGGAAAAGCCATCTACAAAATGCCACATGAACAAACTCTAGCTCAGGTATGAGATGGATGAAGGAGCATAGGAATAAAGTAGTGCCTAAGACAGAGCTCTGGAACATTCCCAGATCTCTTCTCTCATCTCAAACGCTGATCATTGGAGCCTAATGGGTGATCCCACTGGGATCTTCCCCATTCTTTTAACTGAAAATATTTCTTAAAACGTATCTCAGGAAACATATAGAATCTTTAGTTTCCAGTCTTTGGAAGTTTTGGCAAATCTTGTGGATTTTAAATTTGACAGTGGATTTTAAACATGAGCAGTAAGAAATGTTTTCCACCCTTCTATATTAATAATTGCCAACTTCTTGAAAACCAGGTGTAATTTCAGCTTTATTCAATACCTTCTGTATTGAACATGAATAGTTTCCTTTTGGAGACTCTTGCCTTTGATAATAAAGAACAAGGGAAACCAAATTGTATTTCTCTTCCTTCCCCAGCTGTTACTTTGGGCAACATCTTACTTGGGAAAACATTCTTCTTACAGGATACTCTAAGCCAAATTCTGATTGTGTGGGACTGGACTATATATATATAAATACCTATTATCTTGGCTGCCAAAAAACTGGTGTTTTTTAAAAATTTAAACCATTTGCAAACACTTCATTTATAGAAATAGCATTTTTTTAATATTACAAGGAAATGAGAATTCATACCAGGTTTCCTACCAATACCTCAAGGGTAATAGTGAATCAGACATATGATACATGATTTGTGATATATGATACAGAAATATGATTAAGGAAGAAAGAACAAAATGGTCAGTGTCTATCATGTTCCCTCTAGCTTTTCATTTTGTGTGTGGGGAAGGTCACTGTGAGGGTTAATGTAAAATTCTACTAAACCAATAATCCAACCATTCCCAAAAGCATATGATGAAAAATAATTTAGATTTATACCACAAATCTATGATTATCCTATATGGTTTTGTGTAATAATTCTTATCCTTTATGTCATAATAAATAAAAGCTACAAATAACATAATCTTTTTAAATATATACTAGTCAAAACCTAGACTCAAGTTGCATTTATACATTGACTGATAGATATTATCTGCTGTGAATTGTATGTATCTGCAGGAAACTTAATTCCAGGCAAACTTCTTTTGCTTCTCAGCATCATTCTGGTGCTTCCAACAGGTGTGTGTTCAGTGACCACCGCATCAATTTATTATTAGCCTAAGCAAAGCAGGAAGGTAAATTCTTGTATCACAGAAGTCAGAAAACACTGATATTGCCTTTCAGATGTAACCAGAGGCAGCCTGCAAGGATTAGAACAGGACACCTTATGGTTAAGTAGGATGAGAACTGAGCTCAGTGTCAAGAGGCTGGTCCCCACCTCATCCTGATTGCCTCAGAGCTTTCGACTTCAAGAGAATCATTTTTCATCCCTGGGTCTCACTTTCTTCATTTGTAATATTAGGGTGTAGACTACCATTAAAAGTGACTTTGAACTCTGAAATTCAATTATTATTCTACATTTATCACAGGATTAATACATTTTTTATTCAGCTTCGTCTCAGAGGATGTGGTAATTGACCTTTCTGAAACAAACAGTCACAGAATTTAAAGATAATACTTGTGAAAGGACATGAAAGATCTTATTAACCTTTAAACTACCAAAGTAACTCTTTGGGAGTGGGTGGAATTTAGGAAATTTCAGGGCTTCCTGGCAGAGGTTGAAGCTTCTTAATTGTCCAGCATCAGCAACTTAACTGCACTAATTTGTTTTATATTTGACTTTCTAACACTGATTTCTCTGATTTTTCCCTGTTTGACTCTCCAATTTATAACAAATGTGCATAATTGTTCTGCCGCTTTTGCCTGCTTTGGCTGCTGCATATACAGGTGAAGATCTGGAAAGAAATGATGGATCTACAGAAAAACCCTACTTCATAGCCCCTACCCTGCACGGAATTCTGAACAAGAAGCAACTAGTTCCCCAGAAGCAGAAAGAGTAGAAAAGCTCCAAACAGTGCCACTCATTTTTAAGTAGAAGTTTTGTAAATTAGGTCACTTGTAATATGAAAATGATGCTTTTGAGTAATGTGAAATTTCTGTGCTTATTCCTAAAAAGCCAGAACCTGGTACCACCTAAGGTGTCAGGCATTTGATGACAGTAGCCTCTGTGAACTAGGATACTTTATAGACTGTGGTCCCAGCTGAAGAGCAAGGTGTAAACGTCAAATGTTTTTTTAAAGTCTATAGCCGAAAGTGTTTTAAAAACTTTTATAACCTGGCGTGCTGTTTCCCAATGCAGCACTTTATAGCCTTTCTTTTTATAAATGTATATTTGTAAAGAATATTCAGGCAACTTTTGAAAGCACTCTAAATGTATAATCAATTAGCCATAAAAAAGATTGATTCATAGTTAACCAGCATATGGTACTAAATTTGTAAATATGGTGCTATGGTTATATTTGTACTGTTCAAGCTAGCGGACAACTCTCTAAACTGTGATTAAACTTGTGTTAATGTTTCCCTAAGAAGTGTATTTCAGTAAGTGATTCAAGTCCATGACAAACATATAGAAGTTATTGTTATACAGGTCCCATAGAGAGTGTTACTCAGTAAAAATGACTATGGAACCTTCATAGCCCATTTTGTTTCAGTGAAATTATATTTCTAGTAGAGTTGTATCGTAGTTCTGGAATCATTTTGAATAATATGAACCTCTGGCCACCATGAAAATATTCTGAACAAAACTGAAACGACCACATAACTCATGCCCTTTGTCTCTAACCCAAATAGAGACAAATTCCTATTCTCCTATTCCCACCATATAGAAAATCAGTATGGATTTGTTTCAGAAGAGTGATTATATCTTTTATGAGCATACCTGTTTTTCTAGATTAAAGAGATTGTATGGTTTGTTCTACAAAAGGTTTAATTTTAGTTCAACTTTCAACGAGGAAAGAAAGGATAAGTAAGACACTTCTGATGTTACCCTGAGGAAATATATTATTAGCCCTCCATAGGTACCTCAACTGGTACCTTTACAAGGGACATACTATGGGTTAGGAAATCTCTCCCTCAAGAGTTTAAGAGGAAAGTTATTTTCATACTCCACCCCTGCTGGCCAGAGCAACAAGCCAGTTTCTGGCAGCCATGCCTTAGTCTTTTGCATGGCAGAGCAAAGCATGAATTAGACACTCACGTGCTTTGCCTCTCCATCCCCTGTGTGCAAGTGCGTGTGATATGGCTTACGGTGTAAAAATGGACCCCAAAAAGAGTAATGAATCAAGTAGTATCCTTTTGGCTTTTACACTAAGCTTGTGTTTAAGGATTATTTATGTGTTGACAGAAAGGAACTTGTTGATCTAACATTTTGATCTGAATATGATCCATGTATCCATGAAGAGAGTCAGAAATGTGTCATTGTGTTCTAAATTAATATAAATACTAATTTATTTAATGATCCTGAAGTGTGGGAATCTAGATTTAGACTGACTCCATGGCAGCTTAATAGCAAGAAGCCAATGAATAGGGAAGATTTCCAAAATGTTGGTCTTATAATGGCCACCCTCTTGTTCTTGCCTTACTTTCTTGAGATTATTGTAGTCAAAAGTGTCACTTGGCTTCACATCTTGGCAAAGGGCTTCCTTCACTCTTATTCTCCTAGAAGTATATATATTTCAGTGAAGAGTGGAAACCTATCTTTCTAGATTGTTATTATTATTATTTTATTATTCAACAACACAGGGGTCACAACAAAGATCTAGTAAAATAGTTACCTCTATCTTAAGTGTTGAAAAACTGTAAGGATTAAGTCCCCTTAAGAGTAGTCAAAAAGTTTATAATGATGAAACAAAACAATTTTTGATTTTTTTGTAGGCGTCAGAATCACTCTGAGAACTTATTGTAAATATAGATGCTTCCCCTACCCCTGCCAAGAGATTCTCATATATTGTGTTTGGGTGTGGGGCAGCTTGTAAATTATTATAAAGTTCTCTAGTTGATTCTGATACACATAAAAGTTGGAAAATCACTTGAATAAAATATAAATCGACATGTGAGAAACTAGTTGCCTATTTTTTCCATATATTCTTGGCTGTTCTAGGAGTCAGAAAATTGAGAAAGACAAAGGAGATTAATTTGGAGACTTCTAACAATCATAACTTCTTCTGTATTTTAGATTCTTGGTACTAGATAGGGCCCATATATTAAATGTATAACATCATATCTACTGATTAGGCCAGAAAATTCTCTAGAGTAAACGTGTTCACTGAACTATATGGAAGTACATTCTAAACTTGGCTATATATTAAGGACATAACCCTTGGGTGCAAAATCATAGGAAACGGAATGCCATTTGGTTCAATATTTCTTAATAACTTCTTTAACACTTAAAGGAAGAATCTCTAAGTATAGAAGTTGTAACTATATTATGGGCTTACTTCTAGTCAGAAAAATAGTCTCCATTAATTACTTCTTTGTGTAATTGAAATATACAGAGTAAAAATGAGCATTGTTTTTGAGAAAAAAAATTAGAAGCCATTTACTTACAAAACAAAGTAATAACTGTGAAATAAATCAGAGCGATATTTTTCAAAATTTGCAGTTTAAGGATTTGAAATCTAAAATGTTACCTCTTGTTTTTTAAAACTATACTCTCTGAATTGTTGATGTCAAAACAAAAGCAATTTTGAAAAAATATGGTAATTTAGAAAGTAAACTGAGGACACAGTACTTTTTAGGAATTTGAGGGTGAATTTAGAAATTCCTGGTGAATCTTTTGTGTTTTTGTAATTGTTTGCTGTCCAGAAGAAGATAAGTTATTTCCTCAAGAGGCATGCACTATGGGCAGAATCTGACCTGGTACACAGAATGAGATAATATCTTACTGACGTAACAACAAGGGCTGATTGTTTTCTCATAGATATGTTTACAATAACAATGATGCCAAACTATGCTGTGTTAAAAAAACATTTTGACCTGCTGTAACGCAAGTGGGCAGCAGATGGCGATGTTACTTCTCTTACAGTTTTGCTGTGATATTTACTCTGTGCCATTCTTCCTCCTAGTGGAAGATTTAGAAAGGAACGATGGTTCTACTGAAAGACCCTATTACATGAATCAGTCTCTGCTGAAGATTATGAACAAGCAAAGTACACAAACTAAGAAGCAGTAGAAGTGCAAACTCTGGTCATCCTGTAGCCGTGTGTTACCTCTGCCTCATCTGCCGTGTCTGTGCAACACTCGTCCATAAGTGCTTTGTGTTTGGAATACTGTATTCACGACCTTGTTGGCTTTTATTTGCATGTTTTATACCAAAGCTTATACTGTAATACGTGAAGCCATCAGAAGTCGCAAGGGAATTGTTAATAACATGGAACATTTTTATACTAAGATCTTTTGTTTTGTAGTTCATTTTTTAATCGAGTGGCTTGGATGTTTTGAAAATACTAGTGAATATGTTAATATTCTTTTAAATATTAGATTGAAAAATGACACTTTAAATTGATAGCTCCTAATTAATATATTTTTTAAATTACAACTAAAAGACTTCTACAGGGAAAATTGGTAAACAACATGAAAGAGAAAATTTTAAAGTTTTTCCCCACTGCTGCTTGACAGTCAATCGATAAAAGGACCGCCCCACTCCGGATTTTGCTCTAAGTGTAGAATGTTTCCTATTAAAATGAATTGCCAACCATCCAGCCTTCACTACTTCATCCTCTGAGAAAGTGCCTTACTGGCTGTTTAATATTACCCAGCTTTTGTGGGCAAGTTTACAAACATTGTTTAAAAAAAAACAACCTGCAATGTTTAGTGATCAAAACAAGTCTTCTTGTATTTGCTTTCCTCTTAGTGCACTGGTTGGAAACATTTGTCATTCCAGTATGTCTGATAGCCTCACTAAGAGTACATTTTGCAGCATCAACAATTTCCCTTGCGCCTAGTGGACATTCATGAATGTGTACTACACGCAAGAAAAAAAAAAAAAACCCTGAAAGTACGCTTGTTGGGTTTGTTTTTTTACTAAAAGCAAGAAGTTTAAAAAATGTAACCTTTTCTACAGTAGATCTTTGAAAATACAATAGGTACGAGACCACATTTCTCAGTGTTTTACATAGATTGGAAAGGGAAACTTCGAGAAATCACAAAGGGAAACTTTACCCCTAGCGAGGGTGCTCACAGATGTTAGGTACTGAATTGCTCCATTTTAAATCATTGTTTATTATTATCAAGGAAAGTTCTATGTATGTTATTTCGTTTTCTAACTTTTGATATGAAATAATCAGTTTACTTATATTGATTTTTATTGTGCTAATATACACAGGAACATAATTCCTAATTCAACTTTAAATAATTTTACTAATACTACTAACTGTAAAGAAAATGAATTCAGTTTGTTACTCGGTGTTATAGAAAGAGTCTATAAAGCATTCACCCTAAGGGAATGTCAATCACATATGATAATTTGTGAAAGCTTTGAGAATCAACAGTAAGTTACTATCAGTTTATCTATCACATTTGTTTAAATGTGAATTTAGATATTCTTTTATGCCAAAAACAAACTCACATGAGCACATGACAGTCTGAGCTCTATAATCAGTGTGCTTCTGCTGTGCAGAAATATTAGGAACATATTGTCTAAATATCTTTGATAACTAAAATGTTTAATATTTAATGAAATTTGTTGTTACTCATTGTTTGAAATCTATTTGTTTTTCCTTCTAATAAAGATTTAGATAAGAAAAAATTGTCTGGCTTTTTATTTCTTTAAGCCGGAAAAAGAGAAATGCTTTAGTTTTTAAAACCCACCATACTATGACAGGATCTTCTCTGTATCAAATATCTAGATTTTTAACATCTAGATTTCTTTTTTACTTTTCCATTTTTCTCTAGCTGTGCATGGTTGCCAAATCAAATAACTGACACTGATAATTTATACAAAGTAAATAAGTCAAAGCTAAATGAGTAAGAGATGGATTTTTTAAACCCAAACAATGGCCTAAATTAGTTAGTTGGTTTCTGTTTTATTTTGCCAAAGGTTTGCTCAGTCCCTCATTTAGGTTTGCCAACATTCATAAGAAGCAAATCTCATCATTTTAAATACAGGGATAAATTTAGAGAACCTAAGAAATGTGCACAGTAATTAACAGTTTTCCAAGGCAAGATTAAATATACCTATCACTGGTTTATCTTAAGCTAAAAATTTTCTTAGGTTCAGATATTCCTTAACAAATGTAGAAGAATCT